GTTTTTCAAGCTTTCATGCATCACGTGTTGGCGGGGCTCCTCTACAAGACGTGCGTCTGTTTCTTGGATGACATCCTGATCTTTTCGGAATCGCAGCAGGAGCATGACAGACACGTCAAGGAAGTGCTGAGCAGGCTACAGCAACATAGGCTTTACGCCAAGCTGGAGAAGTGCCAATTCGACGTGACGGAGGTGGATTTCCTGGGCTACAAGTTGTCTGATAAAGGGCTCGCCATGGACAGCGCCAAGGTCCGAGCAGTGTTGGATTGGAAAAGCCCACGCAACCGGAAGGAGGTCCAACGGTTTGTCGGCTTTGCGAACTTCTATCGCAAGTTTATCAAAGGCTTTGCCATGCAGACAGCGGCCATCACGGACACGCTCAGCTCCAAGAAAAGAAGTTCATCTGGACAGAGCAGGCGGAGCAGTCCTTTCCAGGCACTCAAGCGTCTCTTCGCGTCGGAAGGGCAACTGCTTCATGTCAACCCCAGCAAGCCGATGAGGGTGGAGACAGACGCTTCGGACAGAGCCGTGGGAGCAGTCCTGCTGCAGAAGGACCCGCAGGGGGTTTGGAGGCCGGGAGCGTTTTACTCAAGGAAGCTCAGCAAGTCCGAACAGAACTACACCATCTGGGACAGGGAGTTGCTGGCCATTCATGCAGCGTTCAAAGCGTGGAGGCACTTCCTGATCGGCGCCAAGCACACGGTGCAGGTCTGCACGGACCACAAGAATCTAGAGCACTGGCGCACGGCACAGTTCCTGAACCAGAGGCAGATACGTTGGGCTGAGTTCTTTGCGAATTTCGACTTCCGAATAGAGTATGTCCCGTGGGACAACAACATCATGGCGGATGCTCTCTCCCGTAAGCCGCAGTATCTGGAGGAGGCAACGCCAGCGGCCGCCATGCACATCTTCGCACCGACAGTGTGGGCGTGCACGGCGGCAACAGTTGACCTGGAGGCGGTGCGACGAGCGTTGCAGGATGACTCCTTCGCGCAAGCAAAGATGGCAGAGGCGCACAGGGGCACGGCAGCGACCGACGAGTTCCAGCTGCGAGATGGTTTGCTCATCCGTAAAGGGGCCATCTACGTGCCGGGAGACGAACTTCGCGCCAAGGTACTGCAGCAGCTGCACGACGCGCCCACTGCCGGGCACTTTGGCAAGGAGAAGACGGTGGAATTAGTAGCCAGAGACTTCTGGTGGCCAGGAATGAGATGGGAAGTCGCGGACTACGTGGCGAGGTGTGACACCTGCCAGAGGGCCAAACCAGTGCACAGACCGCCGGCCGGATTGCTGGAACCGCTGCAAACTCCGTTCGAACCATGGGAGAGAGTGGCCCTGGACTTTGTCACGGATCTGCCCAGCTCGAGGGGCAAGACGGCTGTGCTGGTGGTGGTGGACTTGTTCTCCAAGATGGCACATTTCATTCCGTGTGCGAAGGTGGCCACGGCGGAACAAACCGCCAAACTGTTCATAGACCACGTGTTCAAGGTTCCACGGTCTGCCGCGGTCTATTCTGTCCGACCGAGGCGACAGTTCATCTCGAACTTCTGGCAGAGGCTGATGGGCTTCCTGAACGTCAAGATCAACCTGGCGTCGGCTAGACACCCGCAGACCAATGGGCAAGCGGAGCGGAGTCAATGCCATCATGCAGCAGTACCTGAGATGTTATGCAAATCAACAGCCTGCGACGTGGGTGGATTACCTGCCTCTCGCCGAGTTCGCCTACAACAACACGAAGCACGTGTCCACGGGGTCACGGCGTTCGTCGCCAACTAGGGGATGCACCCCAGAACCTTCCCGGGACTGGAAAGTATGGGGGTGGTTGTGCCGCAGACAGCAGATGCATTCGCGTCGGAGTTGCAGGAGGTCCACGATCAGCTGCGGCGGCACCTGGAGCTGGCTAAACACGCATACAAGGTACAAGCGGACAAACACAGAAGGGTTGGCGAAGAGATCCATGTGGGAGACTGGGTCTGGTTAGCAGCCCACGCAGTGTCGGCCAGGTCGTTGGCGAAGAAGAAACTAGGGCATAAACAACTGGGGCCCTACCAGAGTCGAAGAACAGGTCAACCCGGTGGCTTTCAGGCTGGCTCTTCCGGAGGGTTCCAGGATGCATCCGGTGTTCCACAGATCGGTGCTCACTCCATACAAGGCACCTCACAGGTTTCAGGAACCAGGAACGGCACCGGGTCCGCTCCGAGAGAGAGTGGCACGGGAGGAGCGCATCAACGAAGCCACGGAGATTTTGGACTCCAGATGGGGGGAAGAGGGGGGTAGAATACCTTCTCGCCAAGGAGGGCACCCGGCCAGTGCCAACAGCTGGGTGCCGGGCTACGCTTTAGACGAACCTCTGCTCAAAGAAGAGTTTCATGCCCTCTTCCCACATAGGCCAATGCCAGCAGACCTTTTCGACGACTGGCTTTTCACGCCCACGCTTTCAGCCAGCACGTTCCGGGGGTTCGACTCGGACGAGGAACCGACACGAGACGCCCGTTCCCCGGAGGCGTCACCCTCGGGATCTGCTTCAGAACCCTCGTATTGGTGGGATGATCGACCAGAGGAGCAGTTCCGCAGAAGGTGGCTGGAGGGTCCAGGACGAGCAACGTCTCCAGAAGGTAACGAGGGAGAGACGGACATGGACGTTTTCGGGGACGACCCGGGTTTCGAGCACGGCGGCACAGAGATGGAAGCGGAGGTGACCGTCGTCAGCGAGAGCAGGGAGGAAGAACCGGAAGACTTCAGATGGCGGCGCGGCACGGGAAGCGATATGTATCCTACATTCGTCCCCCTGTCACGGCAGCACCCAGTTCCCGCACCGGAAGGTGGGGAGGGGGGATGAGGGTGCTTCGTGGGGGGGATGGATGTCAGGGGTTCAGGAGCAGTGGCAAGGGCAAGGGAGGAAACAGAGAGCGAGGGGGAGGAGGCAGAAGAAAAGATGAGTGATGACGACGACCCGAGATCTCCGAGTCTTTCCAGTGAATCAGAAGATTCACAGAAAGGAGCACCAGTGGCCAGGGCAAGGGGAGCCTAGGGGACGCCCCAGGAAGATAGAGCCAGAGGGGACTCAGAGGGAGCAGTTGGAAATCGGGACCAGCGTCACCGCCAGAGAGCAGGGAAGAGGAAGGGAGCCAGGGATCAAGCGCTGGCAGCTCACAGCAGGGGGAGGGCACGAGTCAGGGTGGCCACACCTCCATCGGGGAGCGAAGAAACGGTCAGACGGAAGGTGGAAGGTTGGGCGCGCGCGCAAGTTCAAATGCACAGGAAGGTGGCACAGTAGGCAGCCCGGAAGGGAGCCAGGTCCTACAGCCCGCCGCACGGAGGGAGACGAGTCAGCGTCAGCGTCAGCGTCAGCGTCAGAGGAATCCCGGAAAGAAGAGACCCCAGGGGGCAGAGGGACCCAGAGAAGAACAGTCAGGCGGAAAAGGTGGAGCAGGGCTAGGATATTAAGTTGGTGTACAAGGGCGGAGACTCAGACGGAGCTTCGCCGGTCTAACCATGAGACGTAGAGTTGCACGCAGCAGTTTGAGAATGGAAACTGTAACTCAATAAAGACTTTTGTTTAATGATCGCTGGCTAGCGTGATCCTCTGTGAGCTAGGATCTGGAAGCAGCTCTGACAGTATGTAATATAAAAGGTAAAGGGACCCCCACCGTTAGGTCCAGCCGTGACCAACTCTGGGGTTGTGGCGCTCATCTCGCTTTATTGGCCGAGGGAGCTGGCGTACAGCTTCCGGGTCACGTGGCCAGCATGGCTAAGCCGCTTCTGGCGAACCAGAGCAGCGCATGGAAACGCCGTTTACCTTCCTGCCGGGGCGGTACCTATTTATCTACTTGCACTTGACGTGCTTTTGAACTGCTAGGAGCAGGGACTGAGCAACAGGAGCTCACCACATCGTGGGGATTCGAACCGCCGACCTGCTGATCGGCAAGTCCTAGGCTCTGGTTTAACCCACAGCGCCACCCGCTTCCCTGTATGTAATATGGGAGCGTGGATTCTCCTTCCTTGGAGGTTTTTAAGCAGACGTGATTGCGCCCTGCTTGCACACCCAGCCCAGCAGACACCCACACACCAAATTTGCCAAGAACCTATTTATAAGTCCAGTGTTTGTAGGCCTGGATGTATCCCAGATTCTTTTTTTTCCTGTGGCTTTAGGTCAGGCTTTTTTCATTATTTGAAAACTGCCCCCTCTCCCCACGTTTAAAATTGGGGGCAGACATGTTGGATTAATATAAACTGTATTATGTTGTTATCCATTCCTCCAAGGAGCTGAAGGCAGCATTACTGGATCTCCTTCCCCTCATATTTTCCTCACAACAGCCCTGTGTGGTAGGCTTAGACTGGGAGACCGTAAGTGGCCCAAGGACGCACAGTTGAGTTCCATGGCTGATTTCAGCCGTGGCCTCCCAGATCCTAAGCTCACTTAATATCCCTCCACTTTCATCCATATTCTGCAAATAAAAAGATGTCGACATGAATAAACTGGGGGAGATGAATAATATTTTCCCCACAGGTCCAGAAATTTATGGCATCCCTTCTTAACAGCCCTCTGTGTAACCATCAAAACTAGCCACTTCAAGCTGCAATCATGTGTTTACTGATTTGGGAGCAATCCCCATGGAATTCAGTAGGGCTTACTCCTGAGTAATGTAGTTATTGTGGCATGAAACTGTGAGAGCAAGGACCCCTTCTGGAATAAGGTAAGACCCTTAAATATTAATAAAATTGCAGTGTTTACGTGCCCAATGTTTATTTACAAGGGAGGATAGGGAGAAAATCAGGCCACATAATTTTTCTCCCAGTCGCCACGACTTCAAAGAGTCTGCGAACCATGCACAGATACCCGTTCAGTCACAGAGAAGCTGCTTTGAATTTGGAGTCTGCATATTCAAAGCCCCTGTCTTGGTTGCTTCTCATTTCATCAGGCAGATCTTGCCGCTCCCAGGTTCAAGCTAAGTACACTTACTGTTAATCAACCAAGATAGCATTTTCAAAAAACAATGTACAAAGCACTTTACAATCTTTATTTGACCCCGCCCTCACAACATCCCTGCAAGGTAGGAAGCTCGTCCTCAGGAACGGAGGCTGGAATGAAAGCAGTTTGCCCAAAGTTCACCCAGCAAGTCCACGGCTAAGGCAGGATTTGAATCCAGATCTGAGTACTGGGCAACCGTACTGCCCTCCCCTCGAAAAGGCAGCCCACTGTACAGTCCGGTTTCGGCGTCAGGAAAGCCGAGGCAATACTCTACATTGGTGATTACCGACAAACGTCTTCATATATGTACAACTCGGCCATTATCTGACCCGTCTCTTCGGCCGGCAGTTAATAGGTGTAGCCTTTCCCATACGGTGGCTGCCCCCCGAGATCTTGCATATAGGCTACGCCCTCGTCCAGGTGGGACAGAGGCACTGTGTCCTCCTCGCTGACGTGCCACTCGAATTCGGCCTTCAGGGACGGGCGCTGATTGTCGGGGAAAGCCAGAGAGAAGAGGGCTTCTGGTTCGCACACGAACTTGTACACATAACGCTCACCAGCCACCTGTAAGACAGGGAGGAAAATGGAGCAGAAAGAGTACTACAGCGAACGGTTCTTGCTAATAACCCCACATGGATGACCCCAGAACAGAGGTTGGGTGCATTCTTTATGCCAGGGCAGCTGTCTACCAGCTTCTGGTACACAGGCTGAGACCCTACCTGCCTGGGCCCTATCTGGCCAGAGTGGTACATGCTCTGGTTATCTCCCGCTTGGACCACTGCAATGCGCTCTGCGTGGGGCTCCCTTTGAAGGTGACTCAGAAACTACAACTAATCCCGAATGTGGATGTTGACTGGGAGCGGCCGCCAGGACCTTATAACGCCGGTCCTGAAAGACCTACCTTGGCTCCCAGTACATTTCCGAACACAATTCAAAGTGTTGGTGCTGACCTTTAAAGCCCTAAACGGCCTCGGCCCAGTATTCCTGAAGGAGCGTCTCCACTCCCATTGTTCAGCCTGGACACTGAGGTCCAGCGCCGAGGGCCTTCTGGCAGTTCCCTCCCTGTGAGATGTGAGGTTGCAGGGAACCAGGCAGAGGGCCTTCTCAGTGGTGGCGCCCGCCCTGTGGAACGCCCTCCCACCAGATGTCAAGTAACTAAGGAACCCAACATTCTGTGTAATGAACAGATTATGCTAGTAGAACTGCAAGAAGTTCTGTAAGGAGGACTATTTGAAATATTGCAAGAAAGACTATGAGGAGAATTATTAGTTAATGATAATTAAGAGTAATAGAGAAATTAAGAAATGCAGAATAAGTGATAAGGAACAGAAAATCATCAGAGGTGTTGACGGAAGTCTAAAATATTGTATAAGATAAGAAGTTATGTTATATGATTGTTGGAAATGATATGTTAAAAAAACTGTGTGTGTGTGTATTTATAATATATATCATATACCGTATTTTTCACCCTATAGGACGCACCGGCCCATAGGGCGCACCTAGTTTTTTTTGGGGGGGGAGGAATGAAGGGGAAAAAATTATTCCCCCGCCCCCAGCCCAGAACAGGCAGCTCTCCGCAAGCCGGGGGTTGGAATTGTAATTATGTGTGGGATAAACTGCAGTGAATTTTACTTTTCTATCCAGACTAGCAATAGGCATGATCAGTGTTCAAGGACACATTCTAGGCCAGCCATGCAAAAATACTCAAGGAAGGTGTGAAGAGGGGCAATGAGGGCTGTGGCCTGGTGAGAGTTGCAAGGGAGTTGAAGGGCAACCTTAGGGGCCTGGGCCTGAGGCGGGGCAGGGTGAAATGGGAAGTGCTGGCATGCCCAGACTTTGGCGTTGGGCTTAATTGCCTCATAATTACGACTGCTGGGGGTTTAAATAGCCGTAGATCCTCTACAAGGAAACTCTGGGAACTGTATTAACATGAAGCAGGAATGGAGATTTAGGATGGAATATTCCCATCTTTCTGCTGTTGAAGCAAACATTTTACCAACAAAGAGGATGCAAAAATGGAAAATAATACTATCATGGGCTGGCTGGATGCAGAGGAGTTGTGGGAGCACCAGTTGGGGAACCCCCAAGTTGGACCCTCAGGTGAAGAAGTCTCAGAATCAGGGGACTGGTGGTGGGACATTGATGAGTAGTGCTTGCTATGTGTGCAAGACCTCTAATGGGGTAAATGACATCTGCTTAATGCCACAACCCTATTTTTGCTTACCTAGGAGCAAGACTCATTGAATTAAATGGGGCTTGCTTCTGAGTAGACAAGGATATGATTGCGTGACACCTCTTTTAAAACAGACCTCCTTAGAACTCCCTTTCTCTCTCCCAGCCCCCATCAGAGGTAGGCTCATGGCTGGTGGGTTAGTACTTGTGGCTGGTGTGAAAAGAGAACACACTCCGCACATGTTCAAAGGCACTCTTGGAGCTCCACAGACCGAAGCTACCTGAAAACTTCAGAAAGGGCTGAAGTCCTGGCGCGGTCTCTTCTCTTGCTGAGTGGGGACATTTGTGAGGGATGGAGAGAAAGAATGGCCGGAGCCAGCACCTCCGCTGTGCTTAAATGCCTTTAGTTGGCAGGGCGAGGTCGGCGGCAGCCTCTCTGTGCGTGGGTTTGTATTTGAGGGAGACGGTAACAAGCGCGCGGGGGGAGCGCGCTCCCCCCCGCCCCAGACGGCAGCAAATGCAGCACTCGCTCATCAGGGTCTTCTGCTGGACCGGGGAAAAGCAGGCGAGGAAAGGAAGCTGATCTACACGCACGTACACCTTCAAGGCGAAGAGGGCGGAACAATATCCTGCGCCGCGTGTGCACCTTACGCGGCTCTTCGCCTCAGCCATTCCCCTCTTCCCCCATGCCCCATGTTGGTTGAAGCGGGCGGAGCTAGTCGCGCACTCGCGCCTGAGGTGACAGCTGAGGCGGCTGCGCTGTGAAAGGGGACCTGGGCAGGCGCGCGCGCCGGAGGGAGGCACAGGGGACGCGCACGCACAAACACACGCACGGCCCGGGCCCGAGTGAAAGGCAGCGAGCGGCAGTGGCCGCAGCGCGGATACGCACATTTACAGTCTCCTCTCTCTCTCTGGCACAGTCCACTCGGTCTCGGGGCCGAGAAGACGCGCTCGCGTGTGCGCACTTCCCCCAACACACAGACACGCGCGACCGAGCGTGGAGAAGGGGGAGGAAGAGGAGGCGGGTGGGGGAGGAGGAGGAGAAGAAGAGGCGCTCCCGGTGCTGAGGGAGAGCGCTGGGCGGCTGGGCTGGTTCCGCCGAGGCGGCCGCAGGCTGTTGGCGAGGCGGGGACGCCCCCTTCCCCCGCCTTCTGCTCTCCCCCCGTTCCCGGTACTGACCCTCACACCGGAGCCAATATTCCCGAAATTAAGAGGAATAATCTCTCAACACGACTTCGCGACAGACTCCCACTGCGTGCGGAGAGCTTCCTGAATGAAGCCTGGAGAGCAAGAGGGGTCGGTGCGCACCAACCCCTCTTGCTCTCCAGGCTTCAGCAAAAGCCTGCATTCGCCCCATAGGACGCACACACATTTCCCCTTCATTTTTGGAGGGGAAAAAGTGCGTCCTATAGGGAGAAAAATACGGTATATATATGACCATATATATATATGATCCCAACATTCTGAGCAGCATCTTTATTGCCTCATTCCCCCTTTCTTTTTTGTTTCTTTCCCTTTCCCTTTCTCTGATTCCTTTCTTCTCCCTGCTTCTTTTTCTCTTTTCCCTTTTTCATAGCCTTTTTAATTTCTATTAATTCACATGCTCCACACCCCTCCTAAGCTCAAACTGCACAGGCAGTGGAGGATAATTTATTTTGGGGGGGGGGGGAGAGGCACTGCCCCACCAACCTCAGTCTGCCCTGATTCAGCCCCCAACCTGCCGGCCTTCTCACAACCAGTCTCTGAGGTGACTCTCGCTGTCATCCTCTCTATCCTTAGTCACAAGTTTGACTTTGCAGAAGTCAGGGGTGGGGACAAAACTACACCCAAGCGCAACCCAACTTCAACTCCAGACAACCGCTCTCCGCTCCAGACGCAAAACCAACCTTTTGCATAATGCCCTTTTCGTAATAGTAGCGAAGAGAGCGGCTCAGCTTGTCGTAGTTCATGGCTGGGCGATTCTTCTGGATGCCCCAAAGCCGCGCCACCTGCAGCCGTGCCCATCGCAGAGAGAAAAACAATGCTGGGTTTAATTCTATGCCCTTTAAAAATCTGGGTTTTTTTCGGGGGGCAGGGTTGGGTTGTTGTTTTTATTTTGATTATTCAGTACACCTGAAGGAGCGTCTCCACGCCCATCGTTCTGCCTGGACACTGAGGTCCAGCTCCGAGGGCCTTCTGGCAGTTCCCTCACCACAAGAAGTGAAGTTACAGGAAACCAGGCACAGGGCCTTCTTGGTAGTGGCGCCCACCCTGTAGAACGCCCTCCTATCAGATGTCAAGGAAATAAACAACTCTTTGTCTTTTAGAAGACATCTGAAGGCAGCCCTGTTTAGGGAAGTTTTTAATGTTTGATGTTTTAGGGTGTTTTAATATCCTGTGGGAAGCCGCCCAGAGTGGCTGGGTAAACACAGCCAGATGGGCAGGGTATAATTAATATATTTATTATTATTATTATTATTATTATTATTATTATTATTATTATTTACATTGTAGCTTTATATTCTGATTTTATCCTGTGAACCGCCCTGAGACTTGCGGATATACAGTGGTACCTTGGGTTAAGAACTTAATTTGTTCTGGAGGTCCGTTCTTAACCTGAGGTACCACTTTAGCTAATGGGGCCTCCTGCTGCCGCCGCGCGATTTCTGTTCTCATCCTAAAGCAAAGTTCTTAACCCGAGGTACTATTTCTGGGTTAGTGGAGTCTGAAGCGTCTGTAACCCGAGGTACCATTGTAGAGCAGTATATAAATTCAATAAATAACAATAATGCGAAACACACCATGCCAAGGAACCTCAAAAAAAACAAAACAAAAAAAACCCACCACGTTCGAACATCGAAGCCGGGTTTTATTTAGGGGGTACAAACTAGCTAGCTGGGCTGATGAGAAGGTAGCCTCTGAGTGCATGAAGAGTGCTCTTCCCTGTCCAGCAGTGGCCACTGGCACATTTATCGAAGTTTATTTGAAGAAGGAGAAAGGGAGGAGATATCAATACACTGTAAATTGCACCGGAATCAAAACTTGGTGGGAAGTATAAAAATTAATTCAACCTTAAACAAGACCCACCTCCTCTGGTTCAATGAGTTTGAATTCCATCCCTCGGCCTGTCCAGGCAATGAAATGGGAGTTGCTTGGGTCATCCAGCAAAGCTACCAGGAACTGCCAAAGCTGTAGAGACCCCCGCCGTTGATAAGGGGGGCCCTCACGGTACCCACCCCCTTCTTGCTTGATGTCCCCTGCCAAGTACAGCCAACATAATGAAAAAAAGAAACTGTGCCAACAAAAAAGGAATGGCAAGACAAAGTGTTACGAGTATATTGAATTAACAGAGGCAATTAGACACTAGACAAGAGTTTCAAAAAGCATGGGGAAATGCAGAGAATGCTTCACAAAACAGTGCCCTAAAATACATACCTGGACTTGTTTCGATTAACGTCTGCAGGAGACTTTGTGGATATTTAAGTTATAATTAGAAAAATCTTAATAATTATCCATAAAGGAAACAGCTTATAAGAAGTACATAAGGAAGCCAGATGCAGGATAAAGGAAGTCTTTTATTTGGTTGTTTGTATTGTTGTATGTTATGCTTATTGTATGTTATGTTCACGTTTAATGAGGGTGGATTTCTGTATTGGGGGGGGTTATGTTATGTTGTAAATAAAACTTTCAATAAAAATAAATAAATGAATAAATGAAAACAAGAAGCACCCTGAATGTTAACTCTATTTTAACCAATAAGAAAGGAGGTGTCGGCATCAACCTCTGCTTAGAACTCCAATTTTTCATTTTCCTCTCGGTGGTAGGGGAGAGGCATGCTCTGGGCATTAGGTGTGGGGCACTTTTAGTTCACCAGGCGCTGCCGAACTGCAACTCCCATTGGCCATGCCTGCTGGGGCTTGTGTGAGTTGAAACTCAGTTACAACTTGGGGCGGGGGCCCTTCTAGGGCCCGGAGGGGGGGTTGTGTGGTCTCCAGGAAGGCTGATCGATCACCAAATGACTTATATCTGTGGGATACAGTTCCTTGACACTGCAATATTGCAAACAGTATGCTCAACAGTCTATAGTAACAACTTAACAATGTGGAAGGTACTGCGTCATTAAATCTCAAAAGAAAGGCTTGGACAACAGCCCGGATTGGAATGATTTAACAACTTGGGAGTTGATGCGTCGTTAAACTTCAAATAACAAATTTGGACAAGAGCCCGGATTGGAAGATTGGAATGAAGTCAGGAAAAGCTGTGCTGGTAAACAGACAGTATATAAGCGCTCATCTCGCTTTATTGGCCGAGGAGCCAGCGTACAGCTTCCGGGTCATGTGGCCAGCATGACTAAGCCGCTTCTGGCGAACCAGAGCAGCACACGGAAACGCCGTTTACCCTCCCACCGGAGCGATACCTATTTATCTACTTGCACTTTGACGTGCTTTCAAACTGCTAGGTTGGCAGGAGCAGGGACCGAGCAACAGGAGCTCACCCCGTCGCGGGGATTCAAACCACTGACCTTCTGATCGGCAAGTCCTAGGCTCTGTGGTTTAACCCACAGCACCACCTGCATCCAAAGTGGCTGGTAGCCAGGTGCAAAAGGCGCCTGGCGAATTTCGAACGTTGGCCCAAAGTTCATCGCTCCCTCTATTATCAAACTCAGGTGCTGAATGCCAAAAGCTAAGTAGCCAAAATAAGACCAGTAGCAAACAAAGAGGCAGGTGTCAGTATGCTTGGTGGAACCCCAGGTTTTGCAGAGGTATATAAATATTTGCAAAAGACCTCCAACACAGCCCCAGGGGGACTCAGTAGCATGGAGCCCTGAACATCCATTGGAAAAGAAAACTATAAAATCATGGCTGGGTGGAAGAGAGAACAGAGGGACCTTCTTGGAAACCAGTGTGGTTAGCTGGTACCCGGAATAGGAGCGCTCCCATTAGAAGATGGAGATACACTGCAACATTTTGTTGCAGGTTTTCCACGTTACTTCCTATATTGCAGGGCAGATAAGAGTCTGGCAATAAGGCAGATTCCCGAGCTAAGACTAGCTTCAAATTAAGCCCTGGAAGAGAGTAAGAATTTTACCTTATATAAAATAACTCCAGCACAAAGTCTATAGGCAACTCTCAACTTATGCCGGAGTTACGTTCTGGGGGTGGTTCCTAAAGCCAAAATTACGTAGTCGTACCTCCGCTTACTTATCCCTCTGGATATGGAAACTTCAGGATGCGAACGCAGCAAACCCGGAAGTATTTTTCTGATTTTGCCGCACGCGCAAGCGCAGAAGCGTTCTACGTGCTGTGCGCATGCGCAGAAGCGGTCCTCCGGTTGCAAATTCCTCGGAATGCGGCCAGATCTCCGGAACGGATCTCGTTTGCAACCGGAGGTACCACTGTATTTTCAAAACACATTGGGCTCCTTGGCGGTTGGGATTGCCAAAGTCCTTTTCCCCAGATGCCCACCCCCTTTTTTCTCATCAATGAGGTAAGACGCAATGGCCTAGACCCCTGCTCCAACACACACACACACACACACACACACACCCCTCTATTATAATCTGGATTTCAAATTTGATTTTTCCAGTTCTAGTTCCACCTGAAGTTTCAGAGAGGAAGGCAGATTTCAGCTTTGGGCAAGACGATGTAGATCATTGCTCCGGTTCTGATGAGAAGGTTTGATTTGCTTCCTTACCAGAACCATGCACAAGACAAAAGGCCCTACATTTAAATGCCACAAATCTCCAAGGCTGTAAAGACTTGGGCTTTTCTTCATATGGAGGGATTATGATCTGTGGCTCATAGCTGGACATTCTGGTTCAGATTTCTTTAATTTTTTTGTTTTAGAGAATACTGAATTCATGCAAAACGTTTCCTTAGCTCAATCAGGCAGCCTTTGAAAAGATGGCGGATGCCCAGTGGTGCAGCTCATATAACCCAGGGCAGTTGCGTATCTGACCTTCAGACTTCTCAGGGACGACGCAGACGTCATCAGCGAATGGCCGCGCCTGTTTCTCATAACTGTACCCTGTGGAAAAAAGAACACATCAGCAGGGCGTGCTGATTTTTTTCAACTTTCACATTCCAAAAACGAGGGGTACTAAACACTTTTCACATGGATTCGAAAAGATAGCTTGGCTAAATGAACATAATTTAGTTTTGCTTGGTGAATAACTGCGTGGAAAAAGATCTGGCTTGCAGTAGGAGTCTTGAACGTTCCCGTTTGGGGGATAATTGACTGAATCATCAACCAGGGTTAGCTGCCAGAACCTTCTTTCCAGTGCTCCGGATTGGCTGGGACTGGTCACGTGTCCCAGTGCTCCTCACAACACTCCAGGTTGGCTGGGAGTGATCACATGACAACCACTCACCCCTATAAAAGCTTCGAACGCCACATGCATTCCCTTGGTGTCGCCCAACCAGGGTTGTGTGACATGGAAACTCTGCAATGCTCAGAAAGTATTTGCTTTTCTTACTGGCCCATATGTACTGCAGCTGAACTCAAAATATAGTGGTACCTCAGGTTAAGAACTTAATTTGTTCTGGAGGTTTGTTCTTAACCTGAAACTGTTCTTAATCTGAAGCACCAATTTAGCTAATGGGACCTCCCACTGCCGCTGCACAATTTCTGTTCTCATCCTGAAGCCAAGTTCTTAACCCGAGGTACTATTTCTGGGTTAGCGGAGTCTGTAACCTGAAGCGTCTGTAACCCGAGGTACTACTGTACAGAAAACAAAGGACAGATCCTTTCCTGAGTGTATAATCCTGCCTTTTACTAGTCAGCCTGGTCACGTGTGTAGACTGAGAAATGTCTAACAGCCCAGCTAATAGGAGATATTGGCTTGCGGACAAGAAAAGGCCTTCAAGGAAAATGCCTCACCGAGTGTGCTGTCGGCACTGGAATGTCCTGGGAAGGGTTCCACATTCATATACATCGAATGGCAGCTCGGGACATCTATGAGACAGACACAAAGATACAAAAGACAAACAGGTCAAATCAGTAATGATACATTGGGCAAGAGACTTTGGGTACCATATACAACTTACAGCTTGGGAGAAGTTACGGAATTTAAAGTTCACAGCATGTTAGCAAAAATGTATAAAACATGCTCAAATGTATGCTGGAAACGTAAGGAAAAAGAAGGCACCTTCTATCATATGTGGTGGAATTGTAAGGTAGTAAAAGGATTTTGGGAAATGATATATAACGAGTTGAAAAAAAATGTTTAAAATAACCTTTGCTAAAAAACCTGAAGCCTTCCTTTTAGGAATTCTAAGTGCCGAAATCCCAAGGGAGCAGAAAAGACTATTTATGTATGCGACCACGACTGCACGGATGTTATTGGCCCAGAGATGGAAGGAAGATAGAGTCCCGACCAGAGAAGAATGGCAGATCAAGTTGACGGATTATGCCGAAATGGCTAAAATGACTGGAAGAATCAGAAAGCAGGAAGACCAAAATTTTAATAAGGAATGGGGAATTTTAAAAAAAACTTATCTTAAAGACCACTGTAAACAGTTAAAACCGTTAGTAGGATTGGAATATCACTTGTAGTTTAAGGCTGAATTCTGGACACAAATAGAGATGTAAAAGATTTGGATCATTGTAAAAGATGCAGGAGGAACTGATTAATAATGGGACCCACAAAGGGGAGGATGGAAGTCCAAGAGATTCCTCGGGATCTTGTTTTTATGATTTAAGTTTGATATATCTCTGTAAAATTTTAATTTGAAAAACCAAATTAATAATGATGATGATGATGATGATGACAGACAGACATACAGACAGAAATTGCTGGGTTGAGTAGGCAGAATTTGGCTTCCACCCTCCAGAGGTGCAAATCCTAAAAGTGGTGGCTTCATATTTGTGGAATACTCTCTCTGGAGAAAATCAGCCAGCCAGGCAGCCCACCACCATATTAGACAGACTCTACTAAAGGGTGGCACTGTGGGTTAAACCACAGCGCCTAGGGTTTGCCAATCAGAAGGTCGGCGGTTCGAATCCCCGCGACGGGGTGAGCTCCCGTTGTTCGGTCCCTGCTCCTGCCAACCTAGCAGTTCAAAAGCACGTCAAGTACAAGTAGATAAATAGGTACCACTCCGGCGGGAAGGTAAACGGTATTTCCATGCGCTACTCTGATTCGCCAGAAGTGGCTTAGTCATGCTGGCCACATGACCCAGAAGCTGTACGCCGGCTTCCTCAGCCAGTAAAGCGAGATGAGCACTGCAACCCCAGAGTCGTTCGCGACTGGATCTAATGGTCAGGGGTCCCTTTACCTTTACCTTTACTAACACTTCATTAACACACTGTAATAATATTTACGATTGATTTTACAGTATGGCAGGTGGAGAGGTTTGATTCTTTGGATTATTACACTAAATCGCTTTGATGTTTTGAGCTCAACTAAAGCTCTTTTTGCCCCACAAGCCTGCCCCCCCCCTTGCATTAAAACCCAACAATGAAACCCGGCTCTGAGCAACAGTGTGTTTCAAATGCATGGGTTACATGTTTAAAAGTTGGTGTTATAGGAATTCTAAGGTCTTATGGTGCCAACAAAGGTCCGTATAGTTAAAGCTATGGTTTTCCCAGTAGTGATGTATGGAAATGAGAGCTGGACCATAAAGAAGGCTGATCGCCGAAGAATTGACGCTTTTGAATTATGGTGCTGGAGGAGACTCTTGAGAGTCCCATGGACTGCAAGAAGATCAAACCTATCCATTCTGAAGGAAATCAGCCCTGAGTGCTCACTGGAAGGACAGATCCTGAAGCTGAGGCTCCAATACTTTGGCCACCTCATGAGAAGAGAAGACTCCCTGGAAAGGACCCTGATGCTAGGAAAGATGGAGGGCACAAGGAGAAGGGGACGTCAGAGGACGAGATGGTTGGACAGTGTTCTCGAAGTTACCAGCATGAGTTTGACCAAACTGCGGGAGGCAGTGGAAGACAGAAGTGCCTGGCGTGCTCTGGTCCATGGTGTCACAAAGAGTTGGACACAACTGAACAACAACAACAAGGTCTTATGGGGGGGTGTTGAGTACCCTGTTGCAACAGTTTAATAAAGAACAGGCTTACTAGCTGCTTTGCTTCTCAACATTTTCTGGTTGGCCTCTGTTATTTTCTCCTACCAATAGAGAACCTACATAAGGACTCTATACGGGCTCTAAGGGGAAAGGACCATTTTTTTCTTATAACATTGGTAAGACGGGCTTCTTTCCCCAAAGCAGCCTGCGGTTTTGCAAGGTTCAGTGGAGAGGAAGGGGCAGCCCAGGAAAAGCCTTTAAAGGCTGCCCGTGGAGAAAATTAAGGGCTGGCGGAAAGAGGGGGCTGGTTTTTCTTCCGGCTTCTCTGGCAGCCAAAGAAGCCCCTGTTCTACCCAGGCATTTTGACGCCTCGGGGAGTCAGAAGTTGCATGCCCAGACTTTCTTCCCTCTGGGCTTTGAGCCAAGCAAGATTTGGCTCCGGTTACCAGCCTGTGCGCTGATGTCAGCTGCCCATAAGGAGAGCAGCCTTGCTGTAATCCGACACCCCGCCAGCCCAGAGCCCAGTTCCTGTGCCTCCATTTTGTGAATGAAATTCCTTTCTGCTCCATTCAGCAACAGGAGGGCTCCGTGCCAGGAAGCAGAGGCAGGCGGGGGAGGCGGCTCGAGGTTATGCAATGCAACGCAATGCCAGGCCTTCAGAAGAAGCACAGCAGTGCCTCTTCTCTCCCTCCCTGCTTGTATTTGAAGGTCACAAAATGTCACGCCACCCCAGTGCAGAATAACTGCGTGCCCTCGGGGTTTGATAAGCTGAAAAGCGAAGGTGCAATTTAAGCAAGGGGGTGGATGGAAAGGAAATCCCAACAACCTCACAGGCCAGATAAAAGTCTCCAGCCAGATGAAACGGTTGCCAGTTTCTTTTTGTACACAGAAATGGTACAACCTTGGTTCCCAAACTTAATCTGTTCTGGAAATCCGTTCCAAAACCAAAGCGTTTCCAAAACCAAGGTGCACTTTCCCATAGAAAGCAATGCAAAACGGATTAATCCGTTCCAGATTTTGAAAAACAACCCCTAAAACAGCAATTTAACATGAATTTTACTATCGAACACAGGGGTCAGCAAACTTTTTCAGCCATGGGCCGGTCCACCGCCTCTCAGACCATGTGGTGGGCCGGACTATATTTTGAAAAAAATATATGAATGAATTCCTATGCCCCACAAATAACCCAGAGATGCATTTTAAATAAAAGGACACATTCTACTCACGTAAAAACACCAGGCAGGCCCCACAAATAACCCAGAGATGCATTTTTTAAAAAAGGACACGTTCTACATTCTACTCATGTAAAAACATGCTGATTCCCGGACCGTCCGCAGGCTGGAGTGAGAAGGCGATTGGGCTGCATCCGGCCCACGGGCCTTAGTTTGCCTACTCCTGATCTAATGAGACCATGGATCCATAAAATGAAAGCAATAAACAATGTACTGCAGTCACACAATCAATCAATCAATCAATCAATCAATCAGTAGCTGAACTGGGTTCCACGCAGTTACAAAAACAAAACAAAAAAGCCACAGAAATAAAAACACAAAATAAATAGCAAAAACAGATAGACCTCAGCGCAACACTCAAATCGGAAGCGTAACACTCAAAACGGAGCACATTCAGCTTCCGAAAAAGGTTCACAAACCAGAACACTTACTTCCGGGTTTGCAGTGTTTGGGTTCCAAGTTGTTTTGAGTACCAAGGCGTTTGAGAACCAAAGTACCACTGTATTATTAAGTGGGGCAATTGAATAGATACATAAACTACCTGAAAATGATTTACAGATCTAACTCCGAGTAGACTTGCTAAAATGTATAAGTCCGAATCAGATAAGTGCTGGAAATGTAACAGGGTTGAGGGTACATTTCATCATATGTGGTGGACTTGTAAAAGGGTAAAAGAGTATTGGGAAATGAGATACAATGAATTGTATATACAATGAATTGAAAAAAATGTTTTAAAATATCTTTCCAAAAAAAAAAAACCAAACCACACAACCCAGAGTCCCTTTTTGTTGGGGAAAATTCAGAGGGAAATTCCCAGGTGTCAAAAAAGACTATTTATGTATGCTACAACTGCGGCCCGTGTTTCGTTAGCCCAAAAATGGAAAATGAGTGAGGTCCCAACTAAAGAAGAATGGCAACTTAAAAACTGATGGAATATGTGCAACTTGCAGATTTAACATATAGAATAAGAGAACAAGAAGAACATATGTTTAAAGAAGATTGAAATTGTTTACTGAATATATGGGTGAGAATTGTGTTCATTTAAAAACGCTGGTAGCAGTAAGATAAATTCAACAGTGTAAATAAGTTTTGGTGGATGTGATAACAGAATACTGAATGGTTTAGTTTATGTGAAATATGGAGGGATATATGGTATGCAAAATGAACCATGGAAAGAGAAGAAGGGAAGTCATTGATATTGTAAATAATAATAATAACAATAATAATAATAATAATTTATTATTTATACCCCGCCAATCTGGCTGGGTTTCCCCAACCACTCTGGGCAGCTTCCAGCCAAATATTAAAAACAATACAGCATCAAACATTAAAAACTTCCCTAAACAGGGCCGCCTTCTTTTAAAAATAAAAGAGTTGCTTATTGCCTTGACATCTGCTGGGAGGGCGTTCCATAGGGCAGGCGTCACCACCGAGAAGGCCCTCTGTCTGGTTCCCTGTAACCTCACTTCTCGCAATGAGGGAACCGCCAGAAAGCCCTCAGCGCTGGACCTCAGTGTCCGGGCAGAATGATGGGGGTGGAGACGCTCCTTCAGGTATCTTGGGCTGAGGCCGTTTAGGACCTTAAAGGTCAGTACCAACACTTTGAATTGTGCTCGGAAGTGTACTGGATGTTTAAACAAGTACAGTGGTACCTCGGGTTAAGAACTTAATTCATTCTGGAGGTCCGTTCTTAACCTGAAACTGTTCTTAACCTGAGGTACCACTTTAACTAATGGGGCCTTCCACTGCCGCCACACAATTTCTGTTCTCGCCCTGAAGCAAAGTTCTTAACCCGAGTGTCAGGGAGAGGCAAATGGGAAAAGATGAAAGGACAGAAACCAGCAGTTATAGAGAGCCTAAAGAGATTATCAGCAGCTTGTCGTCTGAAAGTGGGTCTGACGTAGAGGGGGAGGAGGATGAGCCTGGCACAAGCCATTAGGTACACGGAGGAAGTAAGGGGAGGAGCTTTCGCAGACTTGCATGCTGGATGCGGAAAAGGAAGAAGAAAGATTAGAGGCAGCAACTGCGCACAAGGGGAAGGACGCTAATTGAAATGCTGGAGATGTACGCTTGAACTTTGTCAAATAAATCAAATTGTTTGGAACTGGCTGAGAGCCCGGAGTCTTATCTATGGCCAGCTGGACAGCATTATGCCTCTGACACCGAGGTACTATTTCTGGGTTAGCGGGTTAGTCTGTAACCTGAAGAGTCTGTAACCTGAAGCGTATGTAACCCGAGTTACCACTGTATTTAAAATTGCAAAACAGAAAACGTAACAAAAATCATATAAAAGAAAAGGAAAAAGTAAAGTACGATTAAGTGAACTGTTGCATAGATACATAAATGTCAAAGCCCACTTTGCTCGCCACCATGGTTTTAGAAGGTTATTGAAAAAACTGAATGAGAGGACCAATCTCACTGGAGAGGGTTTCGTTTATCCAGGGCAGGGGATAGGTTTGTAGGAGGTTTGTAGCTGGAGATGGCCCTGGAAGAACTTATTCAGAGTTCTTGCAGTGTGTAAGCTATCCCTCCACAGTGAGATGCGCGAGAGGAGGGTAGGCTTGCCTAAAGATCAGCCGCCACTTTTTGATCACATCTCACAGGCTCATTAGCTTGCAAGCTATGAAACTGAGCACAGAAACATTCCAGGCTGAGATGTAAAAGGAAATGAGTAAAGAAAGAAAAGATTGCCTCTCAGTTAAAGAAAGGAGGGGGGGAGGTGCAGCCTGCTTGAAAGTGACCTGTGGCTTTCAACAAAGAAAGAAAGAAAGAAAGAAAGAAAGAAAGAAAGAAAGAAAGAAAGAAAGAAAGAAATTTGGATAGCTTATAGACTTATTTTGTCATTGTTGCCCCAAAAGAAAAATACTGAGATGGTTAAGACCACTGAGTTTGGGGAAGCAGTTGAGTGTAGGATGGGAGGCTGCAAGCTTTCAAGATTCATCGAAGTGATAGTTGGCTGATGAAGAATTCTATGAACCCGAAAAGCTTGTACATTTCCATAACATAATCAGTAGCTTAAGAAGAAACAGCTTTTAAAAACACACCCAAAACGGGCTGTGTGACTGTACATTAAGGTACATTACGGAACTGCAGAAAGAGGGGGGAAGGAAGTCAAGTTTTGAATGTTAAAATAATTGTAAATTAGTGAAATGTATAAACCTGAAAAGCATAAATAATATTTTTTTTAAGGACCACTTCTAGGTTTTGGGTGCTCTGTGCATGACACCCCAATTCCACCCCCCACCCTTCAGACGAGGGGCCCCACCAAGATGACTCTGGAGGGCTAATGGGCTTTGATACACTGTGCTGAATAAAAATACTAGAGAAGGGGTCAGCAAACTTTTTCAGCAGGGGCCGGTCCATTGTCCCTCAGACCTTGTGGGGGGGCAGACTACAGTGGTACCTCGGACTAAGTACTTAATTCGTTCCAGAGGTCCGTTCTTAACCTGAAACTGTTCTTAACCTGAAGCACCACTTTAGCTAATGGGGCCTCCCGCTGCTGCCAGAGCACGATTTCTGTTCTTATCCTGAAGCAAAGTTCTTAACCTGAAGCACTATTTCTGGGTTAGCGGAGTCTGTAACCTGAAGCGCATGTAACCTGAAGCGTATATAACCCAAGGTAGCACTGTATATTTTTTTTGGGGGGGGGATGAATTCCTATGCCCCACAAATAACCCAGAGATGCATTTTAAATAAAATGACATATTCTACTCATGTAAAAACACCAGGCAGGCCCCACAAATAACCCAGAGATGCATTTTAAATAAAAGGACACATTCTACTCATGTAAAAACAGGCTGATTCCCAGACTGTCTGCGGGCCGGATTTAGAAGACGATTGGGCCGGATCCGGCCCCCAAGCCCTAGTTTGCCTACCCATGTACTAGAGTATCTCATCACACACACACACACACACACACACACACACACACACCCCACCCAACAATTCAGCCCGGCTCTCTCACCACCTACCTGCGTCAAAAGCATAGTCCATCTGCTCCTGTTTGATTACCACTCCTGCTGCGTACCGGGAGCTGCCACCGGCCCCCAGCGGGTTCGCCTGGTCATACATGGGGTCGTGGAACTCCTGCTTGAAGCCCTGGGCGGGGTACGGGAGGCATGGGGCAGACAGCGGGCGCTGATATGCCGGCGGGGCGTCCGATCCCAAGGCTTGAGAAGTAGGGAAGGATTGGCCCATCTCGCCACGCAGCTGGTACGAGGAGCTGGGAGGAGGACAGAAAGACAGTGGGCATAGAATAACAGGATTACAGACTTCGAGGGAACCCTGGTGATCATCTAGTCTCACCCCCCTGCTCGGCACTGGGTGCAACTGCAGGCATTTTGCTTAAAAGGCCTCCAGCGAAAGCTAAGATTTAAGAAACGCACTACAGTCGTACCTTGGAAGTCGAATGGAATCTGTTCCGGAAGTCCATCCGACTTCCAAAATGTTTGGAAACCGAAGCACGGCTTGCGATTGGCTGCAGGAAGCTCCTGCAGCCAATCGGAAGCCCTGTCAGACGTTCAGCTTCCAAAAAATAGTTCGCAAACCGGAACAGTCACTTCTGGGTTTGCGGCGTTCAGGAGCCAAAATGTTTGAGAACTAACCTGTTTAAAAACCAAGATAAGACTATACAAGCTGGCCAGCTCACAAAGCAATGTGAGTGTACAGCCACCACCCTTTTGTAGAATCGCAGAACTGTTGGAAGGGACCTCAAGGGTCATCTAGTCCAACCCCCTGCAATGCAGGAATCTTTTGCCTAACATGGGGCTCAAACCCACGCCCTGAGATTGAGAGCCTCCTGCTCTACCGACAGAGCTATCGCCCATCTTGTGGCAAAGGCTCCCAGGCACGCAAACGACCGGAGTCTGGAATGCCAGGTGAATTCAGCAGGGCTTAGCTGCAGGTAAGCTTGCATCCTGCTCCACATCTCAAAGCAGCCCAAATTTCTGATCTTCGGCATGCCAGGTTGGGAAAGCGCCAAATAGGCTAACTGGTCAGGAGCAGGCCGGGACTAGTTGGGATTTAGCCATACCCCGGAAAAATGGGCACTCACAGATAGCCTGAAGGCATGTTTTGCATTGGAAGTGAAAAGTGACCACGATACTCAGCTCTGAAGATCGCTATATCTGTCTGTCTTTCTGTCTGTCTCTCTATCTCTTTGCTGGGTTTGGATTATGGGATGGGGCAGACAAGCTTCCTGGAAGTTTGTTTGCATTCTAAAATTAACCCGTTCTGGGGAGCGATGTGTTAGCCTGTCACACACACAGAGAGAGTGTTGTGAAACCTCTAAGACTAATATATGTAAGGTAAAAGTAAAGGTAAAGGACCCCTGGATGGTTAAGTCCAGTCAAATGGTGTTGTGGCACTCATCTCGTTTGTCCACAGACAGCTTTCCGGGTCATGTGGCCAGCATGATTAAACCGCTTCTGGTGCAACGGGACACCGTGACGGAAACCAGAGCGCACGGAAATGCCGTTTACCTTCCCTCCGCAGTGGTACCTATTTATCTACTTGCACTGACATGCTTTCAAACTGCTAGGCTGGCAAGAGCTGGGACAGAGAAACGGGAGCTCACCCCGTCAAGGGGATTCGAACTGCCGATCTTCTGATTGGCAAGCCCAAGAGGCTCAGTGGCTTAGACCACAGCGCCAGATGTGGGGTACCCTTTGGCCCTCCAGATGTTGCAGAACTACAATTCCCACCATCCCTGGCCGTTGGCTAGGCTTCCTAGGCCTGATGGGAGCTGTGGTTCAACAGCATCTGAAGAGAACAATGTGCTCCACTTTGAGCTCCTTGGAAGAAAAGGTTATATAGAAATATAAGAAGAATAAAATATACACAACCAAAAAGTAGGGTAAAGCTTTTCTGAAATAAGAGTCGAGGTTCAGGGGGCTCTTTCCCCGCCCCAGCCACTAATAATAATAAAAAAATTAAAATGTAGGGACCCTGCCCAAGCGATGGGGAACTTGCAGCTCTTCATCTGTTGTTGGACTAGAACTCCCATAGTGTCTGCCCACTGATGGCCATTTGTGGACCAGCAATAGCCGGAGGACCACAGCTTCCCCCTCCTTGCCCTACCCACTAGCGATCCAGTTGACTACTTAGCTCAGGAGCTGGTAGTGTTTAAAGCAACTGAACCACATGTGTAGCACCCTCTTCCCCAGAGGCCCACCAGAGCCCTAGCCTGAGCATATGTCAGAGGAAATATTATTGCAGTCAGACCAACAATTCATGTTTTGCTAGAGAGGTGTATGAAGGGGCTGAGGCTCACAGAGCTCTCTTGTAAAATTTGCTAGAGAGCACTCTGTGAGATCACTTCCTTTGTCTGCCTTGGCAGGAAACTGTTGACACTACATACATACTTCCTTCCTGCCTCCTCTATCTTCATTGGGCTTCCTAGCTGACCCCATGTGCATGTCTGAGCTCATCATTTTTGAACTGAGATTTTGTACTTTTGTAACTTAGTAGTTATAAGCCTGCCTTCATATTGCTACTGTAATCGCTGCTTCAATACCTAGATTATGTAAGTAAACCCTACTTTTATTTCTTCACAAAACAATGTGTGTGTGCTTGTTGCTTTTTAAAGGGAAGGGGTAATACCAGGAAAATCCAGTCTGCCTTATAGAATCCTGGACTGTTGCTTCTAGAAGGTTAAATCCACCTTGTCTTAGCTTCCACAGTTAACCTGCAAAGGATGCTACTCTGCTGATCTCGCTAATGTGAGCAAGGAAGGATAACAACTAGGCAATATATCCTCTCCTAGTGTCTAAATCCATCCCTACAGAAACATTTAAGTCTTTCAAGGACTCCTGGCATTTGGTGGCTGGGAGGTCAAGCTTGAGCCTCCAGGATTGGTTGGGATGCATTGCGAAACGATACCTGCTCAATGCCCCATGGCTCACCTGTGCTCCATAAGGTATGCCTGTCCGGGCGCAGCCTGGGGGAGGCTGTGGGAGCTCACAAAGTTTGACTCTTGCCTAGAAAAATACGCAAGCATCAGTTGCAGACGGATATACATCTTTCTTGCTCCCACTGACCTCCTCCACTTATCCCAGCATAACCCTGACACATGGTAACTGGTGCGATTCTCAAACAGTTGCTCATTTTTCTTAGCGACCTCATTCTCTGGGTACAGATCATTACGTAGCCAACAGGGTGGATTTGATTCAAATCAAATCAATTTAAATCACTAGTCAGTAAGACTTGATTTAAACCATTTTTTTACAGAAAGACTCATTCCTCCTGGTATAATCTTAATATTTGCAACCAGATGAAAGTTTTATTTTTGGAATAATAAATTTTCAGAGTAGACAGATAAATTGTGAAATTATTGTGAGGTTTAATAAGTTAACTGTTTATATTGGGACAACTTTTCTTCTGTACTTTATTGGAAGGAGAAAAACAAGCACTTCCTTAATAACAATTTGAACCATTTATTTAACTAAAACAATAACATTATAGTCTATGTATCCATGTTTGTTAACTGATGTGGTTAAACAATTGAAAAAAGACTTAGACTGAGTTTTAGCACACATGAAAAACTTAAAACAAATCTTTTTTCCTGATGAATAGCCTTTGGACTATAATATAACTTAAATAGAAAACCATCTTTAGATTTTTTTTCCTCCAAAAGCATTTTATTTTAAAAATCCAATTTAAATAAAAAAAATCCAATTTATATTTTTTAATTTATTTATTTTTTAAATCATTGCTTTTTATCCACCCTGGTAGCCAAAACAGCACCACCCATGCACAAGAGGAAAGTATCAGCAGACAAGGGAAACCTTGAAGTTTGCAGCAGTATAAAAAAGTATTGGGCTGGAGGAACCCTTAAAGGTGGTGGGAGGGGGGGAATGGATGGGAGGGAGGGAAATCTCCAAAGCAACCCAATGAGGACTGTGTATGTTTAGTGGGCACGGAATGCTGCCTGGCTGTTTCTGGGGAGAGGTGGGATGGAGTGACCAGGAAAAGGGCATATCTTGCTAGCTGGCCACTTGAAGAAGGTCGAGTCAGTGGAATCCTCGTATGGACAGATTGCCAGAACATCAATTCTTAACGCTTTCAAGGAACACTGGAAACACATCTCACGACAGGTGTGCTTCAGGTGAATGTCAGATCAGGGGAGATGGGTTAGAACCCACTCACCCAAAACATTACCTGGCGTAAAGGCATTGCTCCCCATTACGGTACTGGTAAGGCTGTCTGCGCCGGCAGGACCCCGCTGCTTCCGAACATGGGCTCTGGGGCTCCTTCTTGATCTTAGCTGGGGGGCTGTGAAGGGCTACTGGGAAAAGGAAATCGAGGCGTCAAGGCCTTCCGACAGGAAAGAGCCTGCATGGTGACTGGGTTGGGGAGCCCATGATTCTCCAGAAGCTATCGGACTCCAACTCCCATCAGCCCCAGTCCAATGTGGCCAATGGCCAGCCATCATGGGAGTTGTAGTCCCAACATTCGGAAAGCCAAGCCTGGGCTCTCTCAGCCTCACTCCAAAGGAAAGCTGAGCAAAACGTTTGGCACCAGCTTGGCTGCAGGAGTTGCCAGAAGGAGGCGTACAGGGCACCATCCAACCATCTCAGGGGTGCTATTTTGGATTTGTGTAGGGTTTACTTCCCTTTGTACAGCAGGCTAGCTTCTACATCTCCATCTCTAGCCTATTTTCAGGCAAGCCAAACAATAATAATAATTTATTATTTCTACCCCGCCCACCTGGCTGGGTTTCCCCAGCCATTCTGGGCAGCTCCCAACAGAATATTAAAAACACGATAAAACAACAAACATTAAAAACTTCCCTTCAGGTGACTTCTAAAAGTCAGATAGTTGTTTATTTTCTTGACATCTGATGGGAGGGCGTTCCACAGGGAGGGCGCCACTACCGAGAAGGCCCTCTGCCTGGTTCCCTGTAACCTTGCTGCTCGCAGTGAGGGAACCGCCATTAGGCCCTCGGCGCTGGACCTCAGTGTCCAGGCTGAACAATGGGGGTGGAGACGCTCCTTCAGGTATACTGGGCCGAGGCTTTTAGGGCTTTAAAGGTCAGCACCAACACTTTTAATTTTGCTCAAAAACGTATTGGGAGCCAATGTAGGTCTTTCAGGACCGGTGTTATATGGTCTCAGGGGCCGCTCCCAGTCCCCAGTCTAGCTGCCGCATTCTGGATTAGCTGTCGTTTCTGAATCACCTTCAAAGGCAGCCCCACATAGAGTGCATTGCAGTAGTCCAAGCGGGAGATAACCAGAGCATGCACCGCTCTGGCAAGACAGTCCGCGGGCAGGTAGGGTCTCAACCTGTGTACCACAGGGAGCTGGTAGACAGCTGCCCTGGACAATGCCAAAAGCACTGTCAGAGTTCAAGATGGGGGGGGGCAGGAGGGAAGGCATTCAAGGAGGGTGCAAAGCATGATGGATGTGACAGAGTCAGGCAGAGGGGCTTTGAGGGCCACATCTGGCTCACAGGCCTGAGGTTCCCCACTTCCCAGTTCAGCGCATCCTGGTTGTGCGAAAGGGATCAGGCATGCTGGCGTTCCAGACATTTGCATCACCTTCTGGTTTCTCCCACTAAAGCCCTACCTTCCCCTCCTCCTCCTCCTCCTCCTCGCCTTCTCCCCAGCCATAGTACTTACAGTTTTCTGAATGAAAGTCAGGCACAAATTGCTCATCGCTGTCTGGAACTTGAGCTGCAAAAGGGCAAGAGAGAAGAGAAAGCAACGTTTGGCATCAAACTCGGCGCTCTATTAAAACCAGGCTCCTGAAGAAATAAGGCAGCGGGGATTGTGGCGGGGGGTGGGGTGGGGAGGGATGTGGAGAACTAGCTTGCACATGAGGCGATGGGAAAAGGATCACTGCCAGGAGACGGGAGCCAGTTTCCCCCTTGGGACTCCAGTCACTTCTACGTAATCTTTTCCCCCCAGTAGGTTCGCCCATTAGCACGGCTGGCTGTTTTCCTCCCTCCGGAGGATCAAAAACTCAGGTGCTCTGCTTCCTTTCCCACTGTGCAGCGCCGATCTCTTAGCGCTTGGGGCGATGCTGCAATAGAAGACCAGGCTAGCTTGGTCCAGCTCAAGAGACAGGACGCCACAAAAGAGCAGCGCCACGCAGCCGAGGGATCCAGACCACAGTAAGGTACAAGCAGCAAGAGATAAGGCAAGCCAGAGCAAGCTGCTGGTGGGAGCCAGTGTGGCATAGTGGTTAGAGTGCTGGCCTAGGAGCTGGGAGACCAGGGTTGAAATCCCTACTCAGCCATAAGCTTATTGTGTGACCTTGGGGCATTCACCGTCTCTTGGCCTCACTGAGTTGCTGTAAGGATTAACTGGGGAGAAGGAGAACCTTGGGAAATGTAGTTTGTTAAGGGTGCTGAGGGCTGTTAGCAGCATTAGAAACTCAGGTATATAACCTATTTGCCAAATGGCACCTTAAACCTAGGCTGCCGTCGCCACCACAGATTGTCTAAGCGCCATTTCTTTTCATTGACGTTTGATGTTGTTGCTCATTTATACGTTAATCCTTATTGTCATTGTCCCATACAGCACAACGAAATTGAAAAAATCTACCTCAGACATTCAAAAACCAGCAAGCCATTTCGACGCCACTTTATATTTTAAAGGAGAAATCTCAAAGCTGTTTACAACACATCAAAACACCAAATAAAACAATGCAGAATGAAAATGAATTCAAGCTTCAAGGAAAATATTTCAGATCCTTCTCTAGGTGACATTTTGCTTTCCCCAGTCCCCAGCCCAGCATCCAGAGATCTCCACGTGGTCGCAATTAGACACAAAACGTGCCTGGCGCTTGGCTAATTTCAAACACCGGTTGTTAGAGACCCCAGATCCCCATGCAGAGTTACAATTTCCTAAGTAGTTCAAGAGTCAGTCCTTCCCAGGGAATTACAGTGGTACCTCGGTTTTTGAGCGCCTCAGAAGCCTAACGTTTCGGTTTTCGAACGCCGAAAACCCAGATGTGAATGCTTCTGTTTTTGAACGCGCTGTGGAAGTTGAACGGCTTCCGAGGTGCGTTTCTCAATTGATTTTGCCGACCGCCCATTGCGCCTCGGTTGTCGAACGTCTAAGAAGTTGAACGGTCTTCCGGAATGGATTACATTTGACAACTGAAGTACCACTGTATAGCTCCCTGAGGGGAATGAGGTCTGTGCACCCAGGGGCGGAGCTAGCCGTCCGCAGGGGCGGGGCAAGCGTCCCATGGGGCACCGCCTGCGACGAGCGTCCTGGGGGGTGAGGCGGCGATGTCACCCCCCTTCAGGGATAACACCCGGGCCATGCTGCTCCCACCGCACCCCCCTTCCTTCGCCAGTAGGTCTCCTAAGAACAAGAAGAAGGTGGTAATATACTGTTGCAAGATGGCAAAGAGATGGAGAAGGGAGACTTTTAAATGCAAGGACAAGGTTTTGGGGGGATATCGAAATGGGGAGGAAGCCAGGAAAGGGATGTCGTGTGAGAGTAAGAAATGTGGCATGCCCTGGTAGGAATGCAGATTATATCGCACCAGGGATGGGCAGCCTATTCACTGCAAAAAGGCAGCTGAATGCACACATAGTCAATGCTAAAAGCTAAATGGCTTCTGTGAAAAGGGATCTCCTGCCCTTATCTGTTCTGTCATCACTCTCTGGCTTCCATTAGGTTTCCCAAGCAATATTCTAGGTTAGGGAATTTAACAGCACGGTCCTTATATATTGAGTTCAAAGAGGTTTACTCCCAGGTAAACCTAAGCTCTGCGAGTGCAGCTTTCTCCCAACTGAAGTGCAGAGTGTTTGAGGGCCAGGACATTCACAGGGGAACCAAAATGCTTGTTTACAAAGCTATTGTGCTACCAACCTTACTGTATGCTTGTGAAACTTGGACTACTTATAAACACCGTCTCCAACACCTCAAAAGATTCCATCAACGGTGTCTCCGAAACATTTTACACATCACTTGGGAAGACAGGTGAACTAATGCCAGTGTACTGGAAGAAGCAAAGATCACCAGTGTCGAAGCAATGATTCTTTAACATCGACTTCGTTGGACTGGTCATGTTGTGTGGATGCCTGATTATCTTCTTCCAAAGCAACTACTCTATTCCGAATTTAAAAATGGAAAGTGCAATGCTGGTGGTCAACAAAAGAGGTTTAAAGACTCTCTCATGGCAAATCTAAAAAATGTAGTACAAACACCGACAACTGGGAAACACTGGCCTGCGAGGGCTCCAGTTGGAGAACAGCCTTTACCAAAGGCATCGTGGGCTTTGAAGACGCTCAAACTCGGGACAAAAGGGAGAAACGCACTAAGAGGAAGGCATGCTTGGCAAACCCTCACTGTGATCAACTCCCACCCAGAAACCAATGTCCCCACTGTGGAAGGACGTGTGGATCCAGAATCAGCCTCCATAGTCACTTACGGACCCACTGTCAAAACCGTGTTTATGGAAGACAATCTTACTCGGCTACGAGTGATTGCCAAAGAAGAAGATACCCAGGTAAACAGATGTGGAGCCACAGGTGAGAGCCGAGTCCAGGGTGTGGAAGAAAAAGAAGAGTTTGTATTTGATATCCCGCTTTATCACTACCCGAAGGAGTCTCAAAGCGGCTAACAATCTCCTTTCCCTTCCTCCCCCACAACAAACACTCTGTGAGGTGAGTGGGGCTGAGAGACTTCAGAGAAGTGTGACTAGCCCAAGGTCACCCAGCAGCTGCATGTGGAGGAGCGGGGAAGCGAACCCAGTTCACCAGATTACGAGACTACCGCTCTTAACCACTGCACCACACTGGCTCACAGGTGACAAACTACCCCAGAAGGAGCAGGACATCAGCAGTTTGATGCCACCCCCAGAAGCGCACTCCAATGTCTCTCAAGGCAGAAAGATGCCAACAAAGCAGATCTAGGGTAGCAGGCCAAGAACGAGTCATACCAAATTATTATTTTACCAGGGATAGCTCTAAAATGCTACCATGTCACATAAAATGATGTAATATCTCTGAAATGATAAAAATAAGCAATCCACTGGCCGGTTTCACTTGCACTTTAAATCCATCAGTCTCAGTTCCCTGAGCCACCCCCACCCCATCCCTGGACAATTCATGTTTCTTTCATATGCATGTCTTGTTTCCGCTTGCATAGTATAAATAGAACTTCTCTGAGAGGCTGGTGCTTTTTAATGCCTTCCACATGGCACTGAATTAAAGGGATATTCCACACCCTACTTCGACCTGGCTTGGACTAATGAAAGGAAAGGGGGGAAAGCTGGAAAACTGAAAATGGAATACCAAATATAGGAAACGGCCTTCTCCCAAGTCAGACAGTTATTGTCCACAGTCGCTGGCAGTGCCTTTCCAAAGACAAGGAAAAAGGACTATATATATATATAAAATTAAATATTAAAACAACTCGTTCCCTATACAGGGCTGCCTTCAGATGTCTTCTAAAGGTTATATAGTTACTTGGCTCAGGGGTCACATATCTCCATACCCTCCAACATTTCTCTGATAAAAATAGGGATGTCCTAAGGAAAAGTGGTATTCTGGGATCAACTCAGAAACCGGGGCGGCTTCTGTAAATCCGGGACTGTTCCTGGAAAACAGGGACACTCAGAGGGTCTGGTAGTAGGTATTATTATTGTAAGTTATTCGATTTATGTATACCGCCCTACACCTGAGGATTACAGGGTCAGTTTACAGTAGCCCCACTAGAAGGAAAGTTATACAGCAAAGTGTGATGGCACCCTTCTAAGTGGTTTCTGTACCCTATACATTTAAAGTGGCATCATACCACTTTATGCAGTCGTGGTTTCCCCCAAGGAATACAGTGGTACCTCAAGTTAAGAACTTAATTCCTTCTGGAGGTCTCTTCTTAACCTGAAACTGTTCTTAACCTGAAGCACCACTTTAGCTAACGGGGCCTCCCGCTGCCGCCACACCACTGCTGCGGGATTTCTGTTCTCATCCTGAAGCAAAGATCTTAACCCAAGGTACTATTTCTGGGTTAACGAAGTCTGTAACCTGAAGCGTCTGTAACCTGAAGCGTCTGTAACCTGAAGCATCTGTAACCCGAGGTACCACTGTACTGTGGACCTCCATTCCTCAAGAAACTACCATTCCCGGACTTCCCTGGGAAGTGGAATCAATTGCAAAACCGCTCCTGCAGTCTCCTTTATTCAGCCCCTCCTCTTCCATTATCAGAGCTTTTATCTTTTTTTGTTTTTTAACACTACATTTGGGCAACTGCAGCACCCGCTCATCGCATTTACCGACGGGCACCATTTCATTAGTATCATTTGAATGGAAGGTGATAACTTCATATGGACATCTACTGGGTGTGTCATGTTAATCAAGCACGATTTAAAAATAAATAAATACAAGGCATAAGCTGCCATTCCGGGGAAAAGCAGCTGTGAACGTAAAACACAGAAACGAAACAAGATCACAGCTCCGAATGTACGTTATAGCAGGGAGAGGCAGTAGATAGATCCTGATCTAGCTGTAGATCTCTGGCTAATTTGAAGTAGATAAGCAATGATTTCTGACTCCCAAATGTTTAACGCCAACAAAATACAGTGGTACCTCGGGTTAAGTACTTAATTCGTTCCGGAGGTCTGTTCTTAACCTGAAACTGTTCTTAACCTGAAACACCACTTTAGCTAATGGGGCCTCCTGCTGCTGCCACGCCGCTGGAGCCCGATTTCTGTTCTTATCCTGAAGCAAAGTTCTTAACCTGATGCACTGTTTCTGGGTTAGCGGAGTCTGTAACCTGAAGTGTATTTAACCTGAAGCGTATGTAACCCGAGGTACCACTGTAATTCCCATCTATGCCGCATTATACTACTGAAGTGAAGGAAGCAAGGGATGATACTAGGAGTATATTTGAAGGACTATGAGCTCTGTTCAGTTCTGGCACTCCAAGCAGATTCCTGGGATCAGAACAGCTTGATTCTAAGTGCAAGTACAGTGGTGCCTCGCAAGACGAAATTAATTCGTTCCGCGAGTTTTTTCATCTTGCGGGTTTTTTTGTCTTGCGAAGCACGGTGTCGGAAAAGTTTTGGAAAAGCTTCAAAAATCACCAAAGTCTTCAAAAACCTCAAAAAAGGCTACCACACCGCGTGCTATGAGTTGCTCATCGAAGTCAAGTCGCTACTTTATTTACGGTGTTTAGTAAAAGGAAGAATACTTGCATGACGTTTCCGTCTTGCGAAGCAAGCCCATAGGGAAAATCGTCTTGCGAAGCAACTCAAAAAACCAAAAACCCTTTCGTTTTGCGAGTTTTCCGTCTTGTGAGGCATTCGTCTTGCGAGGTACCACTGTATTTTAAATGAAGCTCTGATTGGTGGATCTCAAGGTTCTAGTAAACACAGACACACACACACACAGAGAGAGAGAGAGAGAGAGAGAGAGAGAGAGAGAGAGATACACAGTAGATTTCACAAGCCAGAAGCCTGAAAGGATCTAAAGTAGGAATTGGCAGCCTCCCGTAGCAGAGGAGTTGGAATACTGGATTTGGTTTTGGGAGGTTCAAATCCTCGCACAGAGTGAAGCTCACTAACTGACTTTTGGGCCACACCCTCAGCCTAATCAAACTCGAATGATGCTGGGGGGTGGGGGAGAGAAATGGGAAGAGATAGTCTTGTATCCCTTTCATGAGAGCGGAAAAATCAAATCAGGCTAACGCACAGAAAACTATTCCCGTATTTTTCGCTCTATAAGATGCACCAGACCACAAGACGCACCTAGTTTTTGGAGGAGGAAAACAAGAAAAAAAATATTCTGCATCTCAGAAGCCAGAACAGCAAGAGGGATCACTGCGCAGTGAAAGCAGCAATCCATCTTGCTGTTCTGGCTTCTGGGATAGCTGCGCAGCCTGCATTCGCTCCATAAGACACACACACATTTCCCCTTACTTTTAAGGAGGGAAAAAGTGAGTCTTATAGAGCAAAAAATACGGTAAGTCTTTTGGATGAAATGCAGATTTTTATTTTTTTTTAAAGGTTTTAAATAAACAAAATAAAGAAACAGGAGGCCCAGGTGCGAAATCTGCCTCACTCAACACAGTTGAGTTGAAGGAAGACCCCTCCCCGCCACAAAAAAAATACAATATTTACAAATGCCTTCCTTCTCTCCCAGCATGTCATTCCTGAATGTTGCAAAGAAGCAATATGTGTTCTGGGAAGGAGCCCTTTTCAGCTCAAGGGTCTGAGTTCTAACCATTCTTTTTTTAACGTCATTTACAAAACACAGCGTGTTAAAAATCCCCCATGTAAGATCACTAGCAGAATAATGTTCCCCACAGTTTATTATTGTCACCACCAACCATTGTGAATTAACAAATCTCAAGAATGACTCCTGAAACGACATACTTAAGAAAGGGGAGCTAGAAAAAAACATGTCTGCCAAATCCTAGGCCCTTTCTCTGGATGCAATATTTTCCACTGTGGGAATCAGCTTTCGGAAGAAATCTTGGGCAGAAACAAATAACGGAGAAGGTCGGCATTGAAAGTTCACCCAAGTTTGTCAGGATCGATCTGAGAGCAGAGATTTGGAGGGTTCAGCAGACCCCAAATGAAGTGCTGCTTCTGGAAGAAATTGGTACAGGCTTTCAGTCTGGGCAGTTTGCATATTTACCGTCTTACCCAACACTGCTGCTTCATGAGCGCAGCAGATTTCAGCATGCTTAACAGAGCTTTGACCTCCTCTGCAGTCCTCAGAAATGTTTCCAAGGGCGCACAGGAAAAGGGGAAGTCCCATTGCATTAGCAGAACCTCCTTCCCCCCACCCCCAGCATTGGACACAAATATATAGAATCACAGAATTGTAGAGTTGGAAAGGACCCAATGGTCATCTAGTCCAACCCCCTGCAACGCAGAAATCTCGGCTAAAGCATCCATGACAGACGGCCACCCAACCTCTGCTTAAACACCTCCAAGGAAGGGGAGTCCACTATTCCCCAACAGCGCTGTCTTTAGCATATGCGCCGCAGTGGTGCAAAGATCTGCCCAGCTCCCCCAAATTTAGTTTAGCCCCCAAATTAACTTTTACTATGCTTTTGTCAGACACCACGCTTACGCCTTAATCTCTTGTTTATGAAAGAAGGGAGGGAAAAGAAACAATTTTTTTTATTTTCTCATTTCTTTACAATGCACTTCTACTTAAGTATACAACACCACCACACTTAAACTTATAAGTATTGTTTAGGCACCTAGTTAGGAGAAACATTACAGAGCAGTTCAATACAATACGTAACATAATATTTTGATGTAGGAGTTAATTTCGCGTGCGCGGCGCCATTGTGAATGACAAGTGCGTCTTTGGTAAAGGAGCGCACAAAGTCGAAAGTTCTTTAGTGAAACAGTAGGTATACATTTCGGTAACACCTAGGTATACAGTGGTACCTCAGGTTACATACGCTTCAGGTTACATACGCTTCAGGTTACAGACTCTGTTAACCCAGAAATAGTGCTTCAGGTTAAGAACTTTGCTTCAGGATAAGAACAGAAATTGGGCTCCAGCGGCACAGCGGCAGCAGGAGGCCCCATTAGCTAAAGTGGTGTTTCAGGTTAAGAACAGTTTCAGGTTAAGAACAGACCTCCGGAACGAATTAAGTACTTAACCCGAGGTACCACTGTATATGTATTTTGCTTTTCTAGCTTGATCAAAACTATTTATTATTTCATTAGAGGTAGATAGTTAAGAGCTTAGGCGGCTTCAGAGGGGGGCGCCTGCCCCCCCCCAGAATTCAGTGCCCAGGTGCCCCACACCCCTTGCACCCCCAGGTAAAGACGGCCCTGTATCCCCAAGGAAGACTGTTTCACTGCCAAACAGCTCTTACTGTCAAAAAGTTCTTCCTGATTTACCACAGAAATCCTTCCAAATGCAGAGCTATGGAGATGATAATAATAATTATAATAATAATAAATTTTTATTTATACCCCGCCCCTCCCGGTTCAGAAAGCAGGCTCAGGGCGGCTAACAACAAATTTAAAACGCTTAATTGTAAAAGCAGCATAAAATACATTATAAAAACATGAATAACCATAAAATTCAAAGTTCAGAAATCAATTTACGGGAAATCCATCTAATAAGCATTCGATAATCACCAGCGATAGCTGGCTGAATTAGTCCTAGTTGGGCGAGTGAGGAGGCCAGGGGAGAATCAGCTATGGGGTCTCAGAGCGGGTAATCACATCCCAACCACATATTCTGCATGGATCTCCTTAAAAACTAGAGTTTTGGTGAAATACCAAGCTTGCTTACCTAGAAGCAACACACCACTAGATTCAAGTGTACTAACAAAACAAGCATGCCTAGAATTGTAGCCTTATGGTCCCTACTTCAAATCAAAGTGGCCCGCCTTTTACATAAAAACAGATAATCGATTGGTTTTGTGAAAAAAGGACTCACCACCTCTGTGTATCCTCAAGCCAAGGCTGGAAAGGCATCTAACATGCCATGATTTCAGTCGTCCCGGCCAAAGCATTTGAACGAGGCCAGACAGTAGGAGAGCTCAACATTTCCTCCTAGAGACGGCAAATTTATTCCTCTCTAAGCAGACATTGGGGTTGACTGGAAAGCAACCAAGAAGCCCGGAAAGCTCATCCAAGGTAGATGGAACATCTACCTTAATAGCACAGAGAGCTGCCTTATACAGAGCCAGGCTGATTTTGTCTACTTAGCCCAGCATCAAGCACTTCAAGGCTGCTAATGGTTCTCCATCCAGAGGTCTTCTTCCTTCTTCCTTCTCCTGCTACCCAATCCCTTTCTCAGCTAGAGGTGCTCAGAAACGACCTTCTGCACACAAAGAAAATGGTCCACCGTGGAGCCATGGTTCCTTCCCTGCATAGGACTCTGTCAGATGTGTTCTTGATGCCAGCAGTCTCCAAAATATAAAATAATGAATCAGGAAAAGATGGACAGGGGGAGAGGGAATCCACAACTGCAACAGGCTAAAAATTAGCAGGATACCCAAGAAGCAGAGACTACATTGCCTAAGAAGCAGGGAGAGGGTTTGTTTAAAAAAAGCAAGCAGCTGCTTTCAAACAGGCCAACGCATTTTGGTCCAAGGCACACACACACACACAAGTTGTGAAATGAAATGGCAAAAAAGAACCAGTTTCTCAGTCTGAGGCTCCCTTTGAGCTGGGGGGGTCACTGGACAATTGACCCCACGTACACACACACGCACACACACACAATCAATCAGCTAAATTGCAACCTAGTATATAACTGAAAATCATAAATAATAAAAAAAGAGAGATTCATGGAGCCTAAATCAAGGGCTGTTGCCTCCAATACCTACATAGACTCTTCATGATCCAAGACAGAACACCAAATACTAGAGGCAAGCAATGGGGGATTATTCTCTCTCATTCTGCCTTGCAAGAAAGCTTCCAAAGGCTTATGACCGGCCACAGGACTAGACAAGCCTTTGCTCTGATCCAACAAAGAGGTTATTATAGTCATGTCTTTTCATCTTGCCCGACGCCCACTATAAGGCAACAGACCTCTTTCTCAAACAGCAGCTTTATTTAACAGCTCGCCTGGTAACCACAGGCAAGCGGAAAATCATAGCATTGGAAGAGACCCCAAGGATCATCCAGTCTAACCCCCTGCAATGCAGGAATCTCAGATAAACCATCCATGACAGATGGCCACCCGACCTCTGCTTAAAAACCTCCAAGGAAGGAGAGTTCACAACCTCCCGAGGGAGACCGTTCCACTGCCAAACTTCCCTTCTCCACAACCAGCGTCGAAATGCAGTAGAGGGACAGACATGCATATTTCTGCAAACTTGTCTCTCTGAAAGCCGGTGGCCATTGGCACACCTTGTGGCAGTGAGTTCCGTATGTTAACTCTGCGCTGTGCCGTACGCTGTCCCACCCGCAGCTCCTGAAACCAACGTTGGGATTACAAATATAGGAGCCAATAAATATCTGTCACAAATCAAAACTGCTGGTTTCAACGTAGCCTTGCCACTCGTCACGGATCGCCTTGTCACACACCTCCAGCCAGTAGATTTGGCAGAAGGCTTTTCTTTTTTTAACTAACCTGCTGGCTGTTGTTGGAAAGGGCTTTCCCTCTTCCACAGCCAGCATGGAAATGCAGGCTATTTTATTTTATTTTTAATGCACATACTATATCTATTTCACAAGTGTTTTATGCACTACTCTTGTGAAATGCAACACTGTTATTTGTTTCAATGCTATTGCTCCTGTACACTTTAGGAGTCCCATTGACTGTGGTTTCCGTGTAATTTACAAGGCTGTCATGCAGGGATCTCTCAGAGTCTGTTAACACGCTCACATCACTCAAATATGTGTGATGATGATGCCCTTTATGATTGCAAGCCATTGTGATCCCAGATAAAATTCCCACACTTTCCCCCACCCACCCCGGAGGTAAGGCTGGACCACACGACCCCAGCTGAGCTCTGCATGTGTGCCGAGACGGGAGGCGGAAAAGGCACGTTCAAGACTAGCTAAACGCCGACTAACATTCGATCGGCTGCATTCCCCAAACCAGCTCCCAGCAAACTCTCAAATTGACACCATCCCAGAACAAAGCCTGTCAAAAGAGATGCAGCCATCGCCTGTCCCCGAAGTTCCAATGTACGCCAAGAAACCTGAGATCGCAGAGTTTAACCGTTGCGTTGGGGTTGGGGGTCGAAGCCTTGGCACCACAGCCCTCCCCATGCCCTTGTCTCAGGGCCTGTCCTCTGGCACAACATTGCTGGGCAGGGTCTGAATCTCACTGGGGTGCAGCAAAAGAGCTCAGCTAGTGGTGCAGCAATAAAACTGCTAGCACATTTGCAAAGCTTAGCAAGGTCCAGTATGGGTTCAACTTGGATGGGGGAACATGTGTTGAGATTCCTGCATCATAGCGGGTTGGACTCATGTGTTTGAAACTCAGATATATAAGCTAGGGGCCAAATGGCTCTGTAAACCAAGGTTGCAGTCGCTGAAAGGGAATGTCTAGCTGCCATTTTGGAGCAAGTCGGCTCTAAAGTCTTATTTTTCAAGTGGTGGACTGACTGGGATGGATTATCAGTTAAATATCTGGCTAGTTCAGATGACAACCTTGAGCTAGGTTAAGAGCTCTGAGAAATTCAAGAAGAAAAGTCACTTTTATCCAGGGACAGTCCACATATATATTCAGTGCCGGATTTACATATAAGCTAAACAAGCTATAGCTTAGGGCCCCACTCTCTTGAGGACCCAAAAAAAACTGGATGTACATTTCCAAAATATAAGATAAAAAACAAAATAAAACCTACATACAGCAACAGTGTTTTGTGTTGTGTAGCCTCCTATGATGTAAGTCATGGGCCCCGCCTGCTAGCCTGCTCCCTAAAATATCACTGGTTTGCTCATTTCCACATAGCATATATTCAACACAAAAAACAGGGACGATTTGTTGTTGACAAACGACAGCTGGACATATAAAGGGTCCCATTACCTTCAGTAGCTTTGGGCCTCATCAAACCTAAATCCGGCCCTGTATATATTGGCCGATTCCGACCTCTTTATCTTAATGGTGACACGGACCATTCATAATGTTAAGAATATTTTTCACAACTCAGAGGACAGCAGTAGGGTGGGGTAAGTAAGACAAGCTGCAACAATTCACTATAACCTTGTTCACTGCTCCTGCTCAGGCCGCACGGGAAAAGCATTTTAGTTCCTGAAATTCATCCTGATTGCGCAGGTAAAATCTCACAGATAGCATTCTACAGTATTAGTGCGTGAAAACGGTCTAGATCCAAGGATCCCCAGGCATGTACCTCCAGATGGTGGAGATGTCAAGGGACATCTTGGTGACCCAGGCATCTTCACTTGATCACAAGTGGCCAATAGGCACATGGCTAATTTTGAACACTGGTCGGACTAAACGACGCTCAGTGTCCCTTCCAGCTCTGTGATTCTTTGAGTCCCCTGTAGATTCTGATATTGATGGCAGCTGCATTCCACAAACTGTTTCCAAAGAGCTAAAGGTAAAGGGACCCCTGACCATTAGGTCCAGTTGTGGCCGACTCTGGGGTTGCAGCACTCATCTCACTTTATTGGCCGAGGGAGCCGGCGTACAGCTTCCGGGTCATGTGGCCAGCATGACTAAGCCGCTTCTGGCAAACCAGAGCAGCGCACGGAAACGCTGTTTACCTTCCCACCGGAGTGGTACCTATTTATCTACTTGCACTTTGACGTGCTTTCAAACTGCTAGGTTGGCAGGAGCAGGGACCAAGCAACGGGAGCTCACCCCGTCGCAGGGATTCGAACCGCCAACCTTCTGATCGGCAAGTCCTAGGCTCTGTGGTTTAACCCACAGTGCCACCCGCGTCCCTTCCAAAGAGCTACCCTCCACAATTAGCAGAGGAGCTACAATTAGTAGAGGGCTGTTATTCCCACTTTGCACAGCATATCCAGGAAGATCAGGTTAAAGGTTTCTCAGTCTGTATGTCTTGCCACTTCCAGGTGGGGAGGGCAGCCCTCCTCCGAGGGCCTAACCCACCACCCACCCACCATCCAGAAGCTGTATTTTTCCAATTGTCCCTATTCCCCAGAGACATGCACAATTTCCCCAAATCTGATGAATCCACGTGTCTTGTTGCATCGCTATTTTGTTCCGGCAATTGCTTTTTTTCTTTTCTTTTGTAAGTTCGATGTGACCGAGCTGCAAAGAGTTGCAACTCTTTGAAAGTTTGAGTTTCCTCTTTCAAATCCCTGGAAGTTTCAGTTCCAAGTGCATGGGGTTCATCGCATATATGTGTGAAATGTACAAACATGGACCTTAAGATACCAAGCAAAGGCACAGCCTGGCGTTTTGGGTGCTGCAAAGCTATGCTTCTGTTGCTAGAATGTTATGGGACAATCATGTGCTTCTGTCTAGTCAATCTGGAACCAAAATAGCCCCTTCGATTTAAACTAGTGCTGGATAGGCTCATACAGAGTAAACCACATTAAGAGTCTGGCAAACTTTGGCAGTACTGAAGAGGAGGGAGGGAAGTGATCCTCTGGTTGAGAATACTCTAGGTCAGGAATGGGGAAACTTTGACCCTACTTTTGGAATACACACTGAAGTGAAAGCACCCAGAATCCATTCCCCCCTCCCATTGTTTGTCAGATATATGTTCGACGAAGACCCACCATATGAAACCTCTTTCGATTCTGAGCTTCCTTCCTCCCCAAAGCTGTAAGATCTCCCCTTCACAAATACAAAACAAAGATACTACATTTCTTCTCAGATATCCTCAAACCACTGCCAACACAATCAGCAGATCTTAAGAGCATAGAATTCCAGTACAGGAACTGAATTTCTGACATACTAAGCATTTTAAGAAAAATAAAAAAGCAGAAGCGAAAATGCAAGGCCCAAGGTTCTAGTCCTTATGTTTATTGCAATAGAGCTGACAACACAGTGTCACAATTCCATACACCAAGGGCCATACTACCAACAGCACTGGCACATTCTTTAGCCAATATTGAGGGTGAAAAGTGAAATTCCAGAAGCAGAATACACCATGCAGATTGATTGCTCCTGCGTGTACTGGGTCAACTTTGCAAAATCTATCTCATTTCTAGGATTCAGACTCTCAAATAATTTGGAACCTTTTGAAAATAGTTTCCTAAATCATTCCAACGCAGGAAGGGGGAAAGTTTTGGAGAAGATTCTCTCTAAAACCATGAGATCCAGTAGTTTGCTTTTTAGGTATTTATAAACAGAAGCCGTGTTTCAAGATGCTCAATTCCACTGAGAAATTATTTTCCTTGCAATTATTGGACATCTGAGAAAAAAGCACCAAGCTACGTTGTAGCACCCAGTTGATAAATCTCCTGCAGCGATATGAACATATCCGTGAGTCATCTTGGTGGAATTCCCCCTTACAACACACACTTTCTTCTTTCTTTTGAAAAATTTGTCATCAGTGCCGATGGTATGCAATTATGACTTAATCTTAGCTACGTTCCAGGGTGATCCACTGCCCAAGAACAACGGCAAGTGAAGTAAACAATACAATTTTTAACCTTTTTAACCTTTCTCAAAATGCCAGGTCCCTAGATCCACCGTCTCCGAGAACAGAAGCCAAAAACTCACTTCAAAACTGCAATTAACTACTATCGGCATTAATTGGGCTCTCAGGGAATCAACAGGCTCCCCCTTCCCAGGCCGACGTCAGTCGAGAAGCAGAGAAACAGTGGAGAGAGATATCATAACCTAACAAGCCAAAGGGAAAAGGAAACTCGAAGCCTTTAATTTATTTTTTTCCAAAGTGTGCCTCATTCAAAAGCTTAAAAGCAGGTGGCAGATCTTCAGATCTGCGAAGGAGAAAGTTTAAAGCAAACAAACCGTAGGTCCCAGACCAGCCCATTCTGGAAAAGGAAGTTTTTTGGGGGGGCCTGCCAAGTTCCTTTCATAAGCAAATAAGGACACAATGGTGTGATTCATACTCCCGAGTTTACCCAAGCCTGAGCTACATATGCAAAAGTCTCTAGAAGCAGAAGGGGGGGGGAGGTGGCCAAAGAAGATGAAGGGGAAGGGGAAGAACTAACTTAGTTGGTCTTAAAGGTGCTACTGGAAGGATTTTTTTTATTTTGACTATGGCAGACCAACACGGCTACCTATCTGTAACGGGAAGGGGAAGGGGAAGGAAGGGGTTGGCCAGTGAAGGAATCCCAACAGCTCAGCCTTACCTTCAGTCAGCCAGGTTTCCTGAAATTGGTTCAGGTCGTGGAAGAGATCTGCAAGAGAACAGGACAGGGTATGATGGCCATGGAGCGGCTGCAGCAGAACGAGAGCAATGCGTTATACGTAGGGCTGCCTCTGAAGACGGTTCGGAAACCTCAGCTGGTGCAGAATTCAGCGGCCAGGTTGCTCACCGGAGCAAGACGGTTTGAGCCTATTACACCGATCTTGGTCCCACTGCCCTGGCTACCAATTAATTTCCAGGCCCAATTCAAAGTCCTGGTTTTGACCAATAAAGCCTTAAACGGCTTAGGACCGCAATGCCTCAAGGACCGCCTCTTTCCATATAAACCTACCCAGACCATGAGATCATCTTCTGATGCCCTCCTTCGTGTGCCTTCTCCTCAAGAGGGTGGCAACAGGAAAACAGGGCCCTTTCTGCAGTGGCTCCCTGTCTGTGGAATGCTCTCCCCAGGGAAGTTCGCCTGGCACCTTCATTATACACCTTTAGGCACCAGGCAAAAATGGTGCTTTTTAACCAGGCCTTTGGTTGATCCGATTTTACGTCCTATGCCCTTTTAAAATGTGTTTTTTGGGGAGGGGGGGACTATTGGGTGGTTGTTTTTATTTTTATTAGGTATTTTATTGTTTTTGTTTTTATTAAGTATTTTGTATATCTTGCTTTTATTCTGTGAACTGCCCTGAGACCCCCGGTTATAGGGTGGTATATAAATTCAATTAATCACCACCACCATCATAATATCATAGAGTTGGAAGGGACCAGGAGAGTCATCGAGACCAACCCCCTGCAAGGCAGGAATCTTTTGCCCAACGTGGGGCTGGAACCCACAACCCTGGTATTCAGAGTCTCCTGCTCTACTGACTGAGCCATCTATCACCCATCTTGCGGCAAGGCTCCCAGGCACACAAGTGACAGGAACCTAGAATGCATGTGAATTCAGCAGAGCTTAGCTACAGGTAAGCTTGCACCCTGCTCGACTTCTCCAAACAGCCCAAGTTTCTGATCTCGTGGTCCAACTAGTGATGCAGCAGTTAAAACAAAAACAACAATTAGATCTGTATGCCACGCTTCATCCGTAGATCTCAGGGGCAGTTCGCAACATAAAATTGCAATTGAAGAAGTGCAAAATACATAATAAAAATTGAAATGAAAACAAACCGATAATCCCCTCTCCCACAACACATTTAAAAGACCATCGTATGTAAATTAGCCAAAGGCCTGGTTGCAGAAGAACATTTTTGCCTGGCACTTAAAGGTGTATAATGAAGGCACCAGCCAAACCTCCCTGGAAGGAGTATTCTACAAACAGGGAGTGGAAAAGGCCCATTATTGTGTCCCTGTTTAGGGAAGCTTTTAATGTTTGATGTATTACTGTATTTTAACATTTGGTTGGAAGCCGCCCAGAGTGGCTGGGGGAGCCCAGCCAGATGAACGGAGTATAAATAATATATTATTATTATTATTATTATTATTATTTGCCACCCTCCAAACCTCTTATGAGGAAGGCACATGGAGGAGTTGTAGTTCTCCAGGTGGTACTGAGGTTACAAGTTCCCTTCTCCTGCCTAAATCTGTTAGAGCCCCCTCAGGCAGGGCTGCAGACAATTCCAGAGGCTGTGCAATGACAGCAATGGGAAGCCTAAGAACATAAACTGAAGATAAACCTGGTGTGTTTCAGAAGTGTCAAAAAAAGAGAGAAGCCAAACACTGAGCATTAAAACTCATGGAAGACTCAACCCATGACAAGCTGGGGGGGGGGGTGTCACTCGAGAAGGGATTCCTGCTCAGCCTCAGTTCCTCAGTCTGTAAAACAGGTGCAAAAGCTGTACCAAAATATCATTATTTCAGGTCACAATGTTGCATCAGGATCCTTTTATTTCAGTGCCAACAGGCTTCACGCAGGTGGTATATTCAATTGGTCCCCATAGATAACCCACATTCGTCTCTCTCCAGGATCTCCCACATACACACCTTCGGGGTCTGGGACGTGGGGCATCCCTGGATCCATGGATTTCTTCCGCGCAGCCATCACAGCCCTGCCTTCCAGGATGCCATTTCCTGACGGTTTCTGTATTTGAAGAAGAAGAAAAATAATGCACGCAACGTAAGACAATGCTGGACTCAAGTCCAGTCCGATCTACAGGCTGCAAAGTTAAAAAGGCAAGGAAAGACCAGGGAAGAGGTCCGGCGGTTTGATTCTCCTTCGTCGCTCACCTGTGCAGAAGTGTAAGGCACCTGCTGGTCCAAATACCCTTTCATCCTCCCATCAGTCATGGGTGCAAATCCCTCGCCAACATGGAGGGCCGGCAGCAGATCCTGCAAGGAGAATTGCATGTAGGAGAAACAAACAGGTACCAAAATCGTGCCCCACAGCAGTCAGGACACGCAGAGCAAAACACAAGGATCGCAGAATTGCATACAAGATAGGTGATATTATGTAGTTGCTCCGTATCTGGTGACGGCAAAAGGGGGGGGGGAATTACAGCCCCTTCCAGTGACCCTCTCTTTGCTGCTACAAGCAGAAATACCCAAGTGGGGCACGTCCTCTCCCCACATTCCACAAACTGAAGAGGAAAGACCCCCTTCAGAGGAAGAGGGTGCTCAACAGAGAGGAGTATGGGCATTTCCTAATCTCTCCCCCCCCCCCCGCACCCCTTTCCCAGCCTCTTCTCTTTGCTTACTTTACTGACTTTTATTCCCACCCCCGGGGGGGGGGACGAGATTGCTATGCGCCCTCCCCATGTTGACTTCAACACCCGCCCCCCTCCCTCACTTCAAAACCCAACTTTCCTCAAAAACCGGCTTCCTTCGCTTTCCTTAGCCTAAGACTGCACGCTTGTGCCCACTTACCTGGGAGTAAGCCCCACGGGACTCAGCGAGACCGAGTAGACACGCATCAGGGTCGCGTGGGGAAAGTCTCCCGCCCCTGGTCACGCACTCCTCTTTTCTATTTGTCTCCCTTTCCTTTGGCTACCCGCCTCCCTCCCCGGATCTTTCCTACATCCTGACACCCTATCCAAAAAATCAGCTCCCTCCCGAACTAGGCCCCAGAACTGGTTCCCACGTCCTTTTCCTCCCCGCTATAATTTACCCCCCCCCAAAAAAAAAAACTTCTGCGACGTGAGGCGACATCGCCACCCCAATTTGCCTTAAAAAGTTATTTTCCCCGCGCCTTCACCCAGTGTTTTTTTCGGGGGGGGGGCGCAGGGAAAGCCTACCCCTAAACCTTTGGTGAATCTTTGTACTTTTGCCCATTTGCTGTATTTATTTTTCCCGATCTGAACTGTAAAATGGTGATTTTCTGGAGTCAAAATGAGAGTAATCCTTAATATTCTTTTAGCAAAAAAAAGCACTGCCCTCACCTGAGATTGGAAAAAGAGTGGGGGGGGTCAGTCCAGGTCTTTGCAGTCGGCCCCCACCGCAGGGCAGCTGATCCCCGATAACAGAGCTACGCTACTTCTCGTGGGACGGCGCCGAGTAAGGTTGCTCCCGCCTCCAGCCCGGGAGTCGTTTCCTCTTTCACAGAAACAGACTCTTTTCTGTTTCTCTTTGTTTCATTGACTTTGTGAATGGAGGAGCGGGAGGGGCGGAATCCCCCCGCCTCGGGCGGGGGACACGCTCGGCCAATCAAGGCTCCGCGTCGCCCTTATCCGGCCGGGGAGGGGCGTGGCTTGAGCGCCCCGAGCCAATCCGCGCGAGCTGCTCTAAGATTCATTCACGGCTGGAACTCCCATTCATAAAAAAAGAAGCACAAGAGCGCCCAAAGTTCATTCATAAAAGGCTGGGGAAGGAGGGAAACGTTGTAGGCACGTTGGTTGGGCTGCTGCCGTAGACCCGGCTGCTCCCGCCTTTCCTCTAGGCCTCAAACTGGTTCTGTTGCTGCGTTTGTAAAGGCGTTGAGATCGGTTTACCTCCCCCTTTACGTCCGTCAACAGGCGAGGCGTGGTGACGGTGGCAGGAATCAAGTAGATAAAAAAAACTAATCTACATCATAGGTTATGCTTAGGTATTTGGGAAAATTTTGTCTAAACGAGCTTCCTTTTTTAAAAAAGTGAGTTGGAGGGATTTTATTTTGGGATTTCAGGTTTGCAGGGAGGGGGGTTTCTAGTAGGGAAGGTGCAGTTTAAAGGGGGGGAAATCCCTTTATGTTGCATATGCTAAAAGCTGAATTGTTTATAATAGTTAATAATATTGGGTTTTTAAGCCTTTTATGCCACTTTTTAAAGCAAAGGCGCTTTAATTTTTCTTTCCACATACACTTTATTTTATTCCTTATGCTTTATAGAGAAGTGCCAGGTCAGGCTACTACAATAAAATAACGTATTTTTCCATTTATAAAACTATATATTCCCCCCCTCCCCCAAGTTTAAAACTGGGAGTCGTCTTATACACGGATAGTGCATATGGGGGATTTCTTCATTTGGAGTCCCAAAAACGGGTTGTGTTATACACGGAAAAATACAGTATACAGTGGTACCTCGGGTTACATACGCTTCACGTTACAGACTCCGCTAACCCAGAAATAGTACCTCGGGTTAAGAGGTACTATTTCAGGATGAGAACAGAAATCGTGCTCCGGTGGCGCGGCGGCAGCAGGAGGCCCCATTAGCTAAAGTGGTGCTTCAGGTTAAGAACAGTTTCAGGTTAAGAACGGACCTTCGGAATGAATTAAGTACTTAACCCGAGGTACCAGTGTATAATTATAAATACATAGGCCCATTTGACTTGTTTCAGGGTTTGTGCTCAGCAAACAGGTCCACATTCATGCCATATATTTAAGTCAATATCATACCATGGCTTCCCCCCAGGTAATCCTGAGAGCTGAGGTTTGTTAAGGGTGCTGAAAGTTGTTAGGAGATCCCTATTCCCTTCCCAGAGCTACCATTGCTCATACACCCTGAATTCAGTCATTCATGAATATCATCATATCATAGACATCTAAGTGGAGACCTCAAGACGGTTGGATGGCACCTTGTACGCCTCCTTCTGGCGACTCCTGCAGCCAAGCTGGTGCCACACATATTTCTCTGCTTTCCTTTGGACTGCATCAGCGAGGCCGGGGGGCGGGACTTGTCATCTGGGCAGCTCAGGACCTCCAAACACACTGCCTAGGCTTGCGCCCTGGGGAGGTCACTTCGGGGCTGCTAATGCAGCAGTAACAACATGGGACACAGTAGTTATGAGTTATTGCAGCCACAGCAGGCGCTGTGATTCTGGACCAGTCTGACTTTGTCCCTGGGTGTGCACTCTATTGTCTCTCAAGACAGACAGATGCCAAGAGCAACATAGTGGTACCTTGATAGTCAAACTATCAAGAGCTATTAGCTCTTGAACAAATCTGCTCCCGAACGCCGCAAACCCATAAGTGAGTGTTCCGGTTTGCAAACGTTTTTCAGAAGCCGAACGTCCGAAGCAGCTTCCGCCTGAGTGCAGGAAGCTCCAGCCAATCGGAAAGCGTGCCTTGGTTTTCGAACCATTTCGGGGGTCAAATGGACTCCCAGAACGGATTAAATTTGAGAACCAAGGTACCACTATACAGTCATACCTCGGGATGAATACGCTTTGGGTTAAGCATTTTCGGGTTGCGCTCCATGGCGACCCGGAAGTAACAGAGCGTGTTACTTCTGGGTTTCGACGCTCATGCATGCGCAGACCGTCAAAATGACGTCACGCGAATGCGCAGAAGCGCCGAAACGTGACACGCGCAGACACGGGTTACGTTCGCTTCGGGATGCGAACGGGGCTCCGGAACGGATCCTGTTTGCATCCCGAGGTACCACTGTACTGCAAACTGTTTGAGACATAGTAAAGCAGACAAAAGCAGAGTACAGTGGTACCTCGGGTTAAGTACTTAATTCGTTCCAGAGGTCCGTTCTTAACCTGAAACTGTTCTTAACCTGAAGCACCACTTTAGCTAATGGGGCCTCCTGCTGCCGCCGCGCCACCGGAGCACGATTTCTGTTCTCATCCTGAAGCAAAGTTCTTAACCCGAGGTACTATTTCTGGGTTAGCGGAGTCTGTAACCTGAAGCGTATGTAACCCAAGGTACCACTGTACAAATAAATGGCATATTGTTGTTTAGTCGTTTAGTCGTGTCCGACTCTTCGTGACCCCACGCCAGGCACTCCTGTCTTCCACTGCCTCCCGCAAAATGGCATATAGGAGGGGGTTTTTTTTGGGGGGGTTGCTGTTTAACACTTCAATTTAAAAAATATTGCTGACGGTCCCATCGCAAAGCCATGGCTGCACGCCAGGGGAGGACAGAACTTCAAAAGAAATGCAGTGTGTAACTGAAAGTGAAAAGGGGCTTGCAGAATGGTGCAGGCATGCATGCAGGGAGAGAGGTTGTGTTCAGTGCCACAGCAATATTCAGCAGGCTTCTGCACAGTCACATTCCTTATGGCAACTGCAATTGGCAAGGAATGTGTGCACTGCCTGAGGGCAGGTCCTCATGCTCCCCTGTTGTCGAAGGACTCGGAAAACTAACACACATAGCAGTGCAACCTCAAGTGAAAATGGGCAGGTCTTGCGGGGGGGGGGCGGAATGTGCACAAGTGAGACCTGCAACAAAATGTTGTAGTTCTCCCTCTCCGGGTCCCAATCATGCCCTTTTCGAGAATACTCCGTTCCGTTCCCAGGCTGCATTCTGGGGCTGATCAGCATGCTCACATCTCTGTTTTTTGGGGTAGAGGGCACAACCTTAGAGGCTTTTTCCTGCCCCTTTTTGCATCTCTCCAACCTAGGCTGTGTGTGAGTTCCCTGAGTCCTGCAAACATTTCCTTCTCGTGTGGTGGGCAGTACTGTTATGGTTCCACAAGGATCCACACTCAGAGAACTTGAGTGCATTACAGTGGTACCTCGGGTTACATACACTTCAGGTTACAGACTCTGCTAACCCAGAAATAGTACCTCGGGTTAAGAACTTTGCTTCAGGATGAGAACAGAAATCGTGCTCCGGTGGCGCGGCAGCAGCAGAAGGCCCCATTAGCTAAAGTGGTGCTTCAGGTTAAAAACAGTTTCAGGTTAAGAACGGACCTCCGGAACGAATTAAGTACTTAACCCGAGGTACCACTGTATTATTCTAGGAGTTGAAGCTCGGGATGTGGGGATACATCTGGTCTCCAACGTGACCCCATTCAAACCAGGGCCACATGCCCCTGTTGGCAAATTTCCAGGGGCTGCATTCTGGTGATGGGTGGGGCCAGGCGGAACAAAAGAGATGAGATTTCCCTTTGTACAGTAACTGATGTTCAGTCAGATGTTCTGCAAACACCAATGCGCTCATCTCTCTCTCCAGGCAAGCAAGAAGTAGTATCAAGAGCACATTCCAATTTGAGCAAAAAACAGGCAAGGAGGATGTAGAAAGGGGCATTTAGGGGTGGGGCCTAGGAAGTGGGTGGGGCTTAGGAAGTGGGTGGGGCTTAGGAAGTGGGTGTGGCCTGGACAAGAGTCCCAAGGGTCAGGCAAGGAGGCCTAAAGTCCCCCACCCCGGATTTATTTGTTTTATTTTATTCCATAAAATTGTATGTACTTCTTGATTGTAAGAAAACCTCCAAGCCGTTTACAAAAAGCTAAAGCAAGAACATTGGGGGGGGGGGGGGGAATCACAGCCGTGCTTTAAAACACACAAAAGATTTTTTAATAAAAACAAAAACTTTAAAATTGCCTCAACTTTCTAAGCATCTGGGTACGCTTGTTTAAACGCGAACATTTTTAGCAGGCACCGGGAAAAGTGCAGTGAAGGCCCCTGCTCAATTTCCATCGGCAGGGAGTTCCAAAGTGCCGGTACCGCCACAAGAAATGGCTGAGTTCTTGCAAAGGCGGAATAGGAACCTGGCACCCGTAGAAGTGCCAGTTCTGCCAGTCAAAACAGCCAGTGGGCACACAATGGAGTAAGGCGATCTCATAGGCAAACTGGCTCCAAGTTGTTAAGGGCTTTATACACTAATGATAACCTTGAGCTTGATTCGGTGGTAAATCGGAAACCGGTGCAGATCTCTGCACACAAGGGTTCTATGCTGACAAGGCCTCGCTCCTGTCCACAATTGTGCCACAGCATTCTGCACTAACTGCAGCTTCCGCACAAGGCGCAACAGACACCCCACATAGAGTGCATTTCAGCAATCCGGTCGTGTAAATGTAAATATAGCTGCCTGAACATCACCATGCCATGTAATCAGACCCTCCAAGTGTCCCTATTTTCCAGGGACAGTTCCGGATTTACAGAAGCCGCCCCAGTTTCTGATTTGATCCCAGAATGTCCCGCTTTCCCTTAGGACGTCCCTATTTTCATCGGAGAAATGTTGGAGGGTATGGAGTTATGCAACACACGCACACACACCCTGAGCCAGGGAAATAAGTAACTAGACAACCTTTAGAAGACATCTGAAGGCAGCCCTGTATAGGGAAGTTTTTAAAAATGTTTTATTATGTTTTTTATATATGCCAGAAGCTACCCAGAGTGGCTGGGGCAACCCTGTCAGATGGGCAGGGTAGAAATAGTAAAATAATAATACAGTGGTACCTCGGGTTAAGTACTTACTTCGTTCCAGAGGTCTGTTCTTAACCT